GTAAGGAGGATATCAACTACGATATTTATATGAACGATTTTATATGGGAAGATACTTATTAATCCCAAAACATAATATATATTTCTGTTAAACTAAAAATCAAGAGAAATCGAGTTCAAGAACGGTTTCCGACATGTGTGTGTGATTGCTGCAATATGTGGCTGGTTTGATGTGGCAATTGCTGGCATATTTTCGGACACTGCCACCGCTTTCCACCTCCACCGGCCCCCTGTGTGTATTTTCCTTTTAATTTTCCTTTGGCACCTGCATCCGCTGGCACGAATATTCTCGCATTTTCTTTGTTAGCATTGAAGATAAAAATCAGTTGAAATTTTTTATGCAGGCGGCGTGCCATAAAAATCAATTTTCGGACAGACAGATTTATTTATCTGCTTATTTCAGAGTTTCGTTGAAAAATGGAATTTAAAGAAATGAATTGAATTATTTCATAAATGAGCGCAGACAGGAAGTCGTTGTCGCGCTGGGGGGGGGCAATAATCCCATTTAGCTCCATCAAATGGTTATTGATTTATTATTATTTTGGTAATGCAATTGGCCAAGCCAGCCGGGCTCTGAATTATGAGCCGCAAATGGCGCCCAGACCGCGATTCCTGAAACGCTCGGCTCCAAAGAGGAAATGTCCCCGCGTGGGTGGTTTTTCGGTCACTCAATGAAATGTCTGCGGTTTCAGGACTGGATTTGGTTTGCTTTTGGTTACAGCTTTGACAGCAACCATTTTGATCAGATTGAAAGGTGGGTGAATGGAAGATATATCATTTCGAGGTTGCAATCAGTTACGTTCAGTTTCAGGGGTTATAAATTTTTAACTTAAAGTGGAAAATTCAAATTCATAAATTTTATTTTCAATATTCACCTAAAAGACAATTTAAACTCCCGAAAATATTTTTCTCCAACATTTGATCCCAAAAATGTTTAACCATTTCGGTTTGGCCTTTTCCTGTTATGCTAGCCATTTTCCAATTTCGTTAGCATAAACATTAAAGAGTTCGACAGACCTTGAAGTCGACCACTAATACCTTGACCGAAATGTAAATAACTGAGCAAAAATTAAATCGTGCATAAAAATAACTAAACGCAACCAACTCGAACAGTTTACACTTGGAGAAAACCGCAAAAAACAAGTTTCGGTCAGCCGCAAATCCCCATAAAGGACCGACCTCAAGCTTCATAACCCAGAGACCAATGAAGACCAGAGATGGACTGTGTCTAGCTGGCTGGGAAAACTGTCATTTTGGGAACTCAAGTTCTCAATGGGCCGTGCTGGGAAATGATGGAAAGGGTCCATGGCCGGCGGAAGGACTTTCACCTATCTGCCAGGCTCTTTCCTCTGGTTAAATGATGTGTGCATTAATCCTTTCAACATGCTTTTCACATTTTTCTTTCTTGTTGCTCTTTTTCGGTTGCCCATGTGAGCTGTGAGCTCCATCACTCAGCTCCTCGGCACCTGTGACAAATGTTTCGGGCAGGTGGGCCGAACGGAAAATGGTATTGGGCTATGGCAACAATGGTGGCAGTCACAAAAACTACTCGCACAAGGTCATATATTTTCGTGTCGCTTTGTTGCTTTGCATGCTAATGAAAAATTAAAATTTCCACTACAAAAACTGTGATTCATTAGGCTGGAGCAGGCAGGCAGCCAGGCGGCCAGGTCGCCAGTCAGGCATTGCCAGTGAATAATAAATAAGCCCGCTGGCTAATTAAGTGAGGAGGGACTGCCGCCCCCTTTTAGCCTGCCTTGGCCCTTTCCCCTACCACCTCACTCTGCCCATGGGGGACACCATTTGCATTATACTTTTGTAATTTACATAGCACACGTGTCCTCGCAAGAGAGAGAGAGAGAAAGAGCGCTTTGGATGTGTGGCGTGTCCTGTGGAACATTGCCTCATTGCAGGACCCATTCGACTGAAATGGCAATCGATACACGGAGGGAAATGAGAAAAATTGATGTTCCAAAACGATGCATTACCTTCCTGTGATTGTTGAAAAACATTTCCAGAGACAAAAATAGATTTTTAATAGAATTTTTATTCAAAGTTAGGGAATGTGAAGAATTTTCGTAAAAGAAACACACAGTAAGCGAATTTATCGATTTATTTTTCAGTGTATAAATAATACCATTGAAAGGGATTGTGGGGAAGGGGACAGAAAGCTTATCCAGTGAATTAACCATGACCAGCAGCTGCGGGCCAGCTGTTTCCTAGTTACTGCTATACGGCGTCAGCTGCTGGTAAGTTATGAATTATAAATTGCAATTCAACTTAATTAAATTCACACATTCGCCAATGAAAATGCAGCTATTTTGCTGCATAGCCAGAGTTTAATTTATGTTTGGGCATTGTGGCCAACGAAATCAGAGGCGCAGAATTGCAGTTAATTTGGACGGCAACTTTATTTGGCTCGGACATCATTTGCTTTCCATTTCGGCCGAAACGGCAATGCATAACAGCATCAATTAGCCATAAATTCTCGTTAGCCAACAGGCAAAGTACTTCCCATAAATAAAGGGTCTGGGCCTTGGGAGTGGGTGGATGTAAAGCCATCGCTCAGGAAGAAGGCGGCAAACCGAATATAATATCAGACACTTCACACGCCACACAAACGCACACAAGTCCAAAACTGAATAACTATGCTTATTAAGGATAAAGGCTGTGGGTGTGTGGGTGCCACACACAATTCACAATTACAATTATTTTTGCTATGTAGTTTCCGAAAACCCGACTGCCCCACATCGGCGGCTGAGACGCATAAAAATCGCAGCTGTCAGTTCAAAAAGCCAAAAACTTCAGCAACAGCATCAATTTTCCACACGCCAGCGAATTTTTCGCCACCAATCCGGGGAAAATACACACATACACACACACACACACAAACACAATTGCGGAAGACATGTGAACGCAATTTTCACGTGCAAACTTTGCTCTTCCAAAAGGCAACAAACAAACGAAGCAAATAAACCAAGTGAAATGTGCACGAGAGCCAATTGATTTATACGAAGTTGGGATACACTCTCCTGGGAGGACAGTAGCCGGTTAGTTTATGCGAGTGTGTGAGATATCGATGATTCGCGTCTTGATTTATGGGATGAATTTTAGATATTTCAAGTTCAATGCCTAAAATGATTTAAAAAATAAACGGATTTGGGTTTATGAAAATGATTTATTTTTGTACTTGTTCCAATAATCTCTTAATGCCTAATTAAATTTTCGGAATCAACAAATATGGTTTCAGAAATGGTAGCTTCAAGTTAAGTTCCAACTATTTCTTATTTAAAAACAAGCGAAGCCTAAAACAGACTGTATGTCAGCAACAAACTTCGTAATTTGTTCAATGATATATATTAATAAGAAAAGCAGATTTTCCAAATGTTTCTAAGCAGAAGGGAGCCCCAATGAGCTGCCTGTTCCTCAGAATGACAAACTAATGAAACTGCCCCACAGACTTAATTGCAGGGCATCCATAAAACAAGTGTAGCGCTGCGGCGTGGCATAAGTTGGCGCAAATAAAGTAAAGTAAGCTGCACAATTTTATTTCGTGCGTTGCGGGAACCTCAGTCAGGGGCTGTCAGCAGGGGTAGGATTTTGGGGGATGGGTGTTGAGAAAATGTGGGGTGGAGGGATGGTCTGGAATTGGAATTGGTAGGGTGGGCTGCCAGCTAATCTCAACAAACAAAGCGTGAAACTAACAATTCTGCAAATACAGACAAAACCGCACACCCGCGCACAAAAGAGCGAGACAGACGGTCGAAGGGAGATGTTGGGTTGGAGACACGCCCACTATGGTATGGTTTTTGGGGAAAAGTTTGTCTTGCTCATTCGCGGGCCAAGATGAAACTTTATTTTAGCGTGGCAGAGGGGGGGGAGCTACAGCCATCGAATTTATTTTCATGTCAAAGTAGAAAAGTACCCACTCCATCCACTCTCCTTTTTAAGCTAGTCGCATTTAGGATTGGCGTTAAATTGGCAAAAGGCGATGGCTAAGCAAATAATGAACTTGCTAATTTGGCTGGGCGTTCGTTGCAACGCGGCGTATGAGCGATGTTTGGGCATAAATTACGCATACGCTGCGTTGCACATCTTAAGCGCATTAAAGCCTCTTGAACGCGCTGCCCAAGTGGCCGCATAATAAGGCTAGGCATACAGAGGGCCAAAAGGGACGGGGTGAGCAACAAGCGGCTGTGGCTCCAAGAGGCTAAGCTCTAATTTTCTCACGTACTTGTAAATTTTGCGGAAAACCGCAACAAATTCACTTATAAAAGTAATCTAGAAAGCGCGTACACAACCGGAAGCACGAAAAGGCGCGGGAAGCACGGCAAAAATCCTGGCCAAAAGGGGAGGCAAACTGAAGCCTTAAAAGAGAGCAAAGGGAGAAAAAAACGAGGAGAAAACAAAAAGCGCACAAACTCGTCGTCGTGTAAAGAATTGCGTTTGTCGCGACACGGCGACAACTTTTGCTACACAGAATGAGACGCAGGGGGATGAATAAGGCACTAAGGACGAAGGACGAAGAACCAGGCTTAAAGCGACCCCCACTTTATCACAGATTTAAAACGAAATGAATGTAAGCACATTAAATGGCTTGGACTCGGTACTAGGGACCGAGGGCTGGGGACTCTTATTAAAGGTTCATAGTCAAGGACTAGGGAAAGATTTTACCCGCGGGGTGGCTTGTTTGTCTTGGAGGGCGAAATAAAAAAGTTTCAAATGCAAAGTTAGCTTACGGAAAGAAACAAGAAAGGATTTAATTGGAGAGCGATTTGTAGGGCGGTTAAGAACAAGACAAGTTGCTCTTATCATTTGGCTTAATTTCAAACCCTCAGGGAAAAGGCAACTGGTTTGTGCCTAAAAAAAGTATTTCTTAATAAAAAAAGGCTCCAGTTTTAGATAATAATTTAAGAAAAATTTGAATAAAACCGAAAAAGAAAACCAAGAATAATATTTAAAAAAACCATTTTGTTAAGAGTTTGTTAAATACGTAGATTGGATATCTCGATATAATCGAAATGCTAACATTTTTTGATAATGTAGTCTCTGACATTTTTGTCCTACATAAACCATTAGCCAAAATTGTTTACTTCAACACGATCACACAATTTATTTGTTAAAAATGACAGTTAATCCCTTATTTTCCTTTCTGATTTTCACCATATTCCTGTTTAACTTCGGTACACCATTTTTTCAAGACTTAGCTGTATGTGGCGACTGCACTGAGCAAAACAAAGGAAAGTGCATAATTGAGGGTGAACCGGGATATTTTGTTAGTAGAGGGTTATTTGGAATGTCAAACCCAAATTCTGAGATGGATATGACACCCTCCGATTTTCCTCCGCAAACCCTTAACATGAGCAAATGTATACCTGACGGCTTGGCTATTAGCGGTAATAAGAATGATGACTAACAACTTTACGCATTGACTTATTGACTCTATCCTACAGCTCCTATTTCTTACCAGTATATATGCGTTTGGTCAGAGGAACTTGGTTGTCAAGTTATAGTCCCTAATTCTGCTGACAGAGTAGGCTGTTCGCTCTGCCAGTCGCGTGGTGCTGGCTTCAATTGTCCGTGTATGGATCCATCAAGTAGACTTTTTTCCGGATCCCAGCAAATTCACTCTATCCCTTATCTGGTTATAGTTGGTGCATGTGTTGTGAGTCTGGTAACTTACCTGTGGAAGTAACGCATTTTCGTTCTAGTTATAAATTCTGGAATTATTTTCGATTAGCATTCAATAAATCATTGCCAATTATTAGGTTCAATAGCAAAGTCAATCTTTGGTATAGAACGGACTTCAAAAAAGTGATAAAGTACTCTATGAAATAATCGCCATTGTTTACCTCAATTGTCATTGCCATTTGTTAAAAATGACAGTTAATCCCATATATTATTTTATAATTTTCGCCATTTTCCTGTTTCACTTCTGTACACCATTTTTTATCTGGCGACTGCACTGAGGAAAACAAAGGAAAGTGCATAGTTGAGGGTGAATCGGGATATTTTGTAAGTAGAAAGTTATTTGAGTTGATTATGACATTCCCCGATTTTCCTCGGCAAACCTTTAACATAAGCCAATGCATACCTGAAGGATTTGGTATTAGCTGCAATAATAGTGATGACTAGCAACTTTCCGCACTGATTTGTTCAACCATATCTTACAACCCCTGTTTCTTATCACTATACATGTATACATGTATATGCGTTTGGTCAGTGTAACTTGGTTGTCAAGTCATAGTCCTTAAGGCTGGTGACAAAGTAGGCTGTGCGCTCTGCCAGTCGCGGGGTGCTGACATCGATTGTCCGTGTATAAACCCATTAAGTAAAAATATATCCGGATCCCAGCAAATTCGCTCTATCACTTGGCTGGTTTTAGTTGGTGCATGTGTTGTGAGTCTGGTAAATTTCTCTAGGAAGTAACGCAATTCCGCGTTAGTTATGAATTCTAGAGTTACCTTCGATTAATATTCAATAAATCATTGCCAAATAATGGTCAATCTAAGCATTTGTTTTAAAGGATCGGGAATTTGGTTCACTACAGGAGTTGATCTATCCGTGTCCGCTTCTCTGTTCACATGTTCAATTTCATGTTCAATAATCATGAAGTTGGTTAACAGAGTAACTGAGCCGTTTAATTGGTTTTTAAATAATTCAAAGTAATAAGGCCTAGTCAAATAAAAATCATTTTGAATTCTCCATCTATATCTGTCCAATGCTGACTAGCAGTTTATCTTCTTTTCTGGCCCTCTTGGAGAACCCCCGGGAAAAAGTTTGTTTTTGTGTCCAAAATGTATTTAACAATAAAAGCTTGTATACAAAAATAATTTAAAAAGGCATTTGAATAAAGACGAAACAGTAATAAAGTTTCGACGATATAATTTAGGTAGTAATAAATTTTATAAAAATCGGCATTGTAATATTTTCAAATTAACTTAGATTATCCCAACGGACTTCAGAATTCGGTTCGAATCGAAATGCAAAAAATATTTGATAAAGTACTCTATGAAATTATTGTCACACATAAGCCATTAGCCAAAATTGCTTACATCAACAAGAACACACAGTTTTTTTTTTTTTTTTTTAAAAATGACAGTTAAACCCATAGTTTCGTTTTTGATTTTCGCCATTTTCCTGTTTAACTTCTGTACCCCATATAAAGGACCTATGTGTAACGACTGCACTGAGATAAACAGAGGCAAGTGCATAATTGAAGGTGAATCGGGATATTTTGTCAGTAGAAAGATAATACTACAGTCAAATTCTGAGAAAATTGTAAGATCCACAAAGTTTCCTCCGCAAAGCTCTGACCTGAGCAAATGTATACCTGACGACTTGGCTATTAGCGGTAATAAGAGTAATGGCTAGCTAATTTACGAATTGAGTTATTTAACCCACTCTTACAGCTCCTGTTTCTTATGAATACATATGCGTTTGGTCAGAGGAATACGGTTGTCAAGTTATAGTCCCTAAGTCAGGTGACAAAGTTGACTGTGCCCTTTGCTATTCCCGAGGTCCAGACGTCGATTGTCCGTGTGTGGACTTGTCAAGTAAACTTAAAGCCGGATCCGATCAAATTCGCTCTATCTCTTATCTGGTTATAGTTGGTGCATGTGTTGTGAGTCTGGTAACTTACCTTTGGAAGTAACGCAGTTTTGCTTTGGTTATGATTTCTGGAATTATTTTTGATTAGCATTCAATAAATCATTGCCGATTGTTAGGTTCAATAGCAAAGTCAATCTAAGCATTTGTTTTAAATAATCGGGAATTGGGATCACAAGAAGAGTTGATGAGCCCATGTCCGCTTGTTTGTTCTTATTAATCTTATTTCTGCTAGCATAATCATCTTGAAATTGGTTAAGAGAGTAACTAAAGCGTTTTATCTTGTAAAAGTCCCTTTCGAAATTATTTAATTAACTTTTTTAGGTAACCAAAAAAAACAGGCTTATTCAAATAAAACAATCACTTTGAATCCGAAGAAATCAGATAGCGAATCCTCCTGGCCTATATCGGTCCTAAAAGTTCTAGCGTTTTGACAAAGTTTTTGCCGCTTATCTGGGCCATTAGTTGAAATGCCATTTGAAGTCACAGAATTCCAATTGTTGTGGCATCATTGTGTGGATTGTTTGGATGGTATGTTTTCTCTGTTCATTTCTTTGATATTAAGCTCAGAGCCACTTGAAATCTCCAACAAATGAATATTAAATAACCTGATAAAGTTGTACCAAATTATTGCCCCCGGCACGGAGTTCTCTCTGTCCAACGACCGAAAATTTTCACTCCCGCGCCCCCAAGGCTGCGTCTGCAATTAGAAAAACAACTTTTTCTGCTGTTCAACATTCGTTACAAGCGTTGAAAGTCTGAAAGTCGGTCGCAACAAATCCAATTTTCAGCTGCAAAGAAAAAAGTTAAATTATCAAAAGAAGAAAATAAATTGTAGCTCAGCGAAAAGTTGGTACTTCTCCAAGGACAATGCCAATGGATAGGGCAACCCATCCTGTAGTTTACACAGTTCATGCCATCCATTCTATATAACGAACCCCGCAGCTATGTGTCAGAAATTTGCGGGACGGCCCCTTCATCGTTATTAGCAGCTGATGGCGGAAAACTTTTAGCTATGCTTTTAATAAACTTTTCTTTGGCATTTGCCGTTTGGCATTTATGCAAATTGCAGCCACACAAATATTGAGTGGAATGGCCCCCGACCAATAACAACAAATTTCAATTATGCCATCAAATCTATTTAGGTGTATAAATATTTGGGAGTTTCCTGACAGCCCAACCTACCACCTACCATCCACCACCCATCTTGCTGTAATTGTGGCGTGTAATTTACAGATTTTCTTGTTAAGATTGTGGCCAAAGTTTGCTTCGCCTCCACAGTCATTGTTCGTAGTTTTTTGGCCCTCAAGCAGACCTTAATTGGCATGTCGGCCTGAAGAGTCAATAGGCGGTTTGTGTAGCATTCAAGTTGCACATAAATTTCCTGTTGAATATTTTACAACACATTGTTGGGGCTGTTTGCATTGTGGCAGCGTTAAATTTTGCTTGATTTGATTTCGTTTCAATTATACTTGAGCCGCAAATAAGCTTTTCCCCCTCAAGAGACTTTTTCAAGTTCATTAACAAAATGAAGAAGGACTCGGGCGAAGGCCAAAATAAATGTTGCCTACTTTCAGGACGGCCAAATTAATCAATTATGCGTGTGTGTGGACTTTTGGGGCCTGTACTTTGTGCCCATTTCGTTAATTAATAAAAACGTTAACAATGAGTGAGGGTTCATCAATGATAAGCTTTAATTTTCTGAGATTTTAATAAGTAATCCTAACTAATCTGAGCTTAAAACCTGAAAAGTTTTCGTAGAGAATTGAAGGATAATATTCTTAGCTAATTAAATTATTATTCTTCCTCTGATTTATTTTAAATTTAATAGAATTTTTGTTAAAATATTAATACAAAGCACAGAGTAAGCACAGCTTTAAGTTCATATTATCAATTTCTCCCGATGGCATCTACTATATAGCTTACTGATATATTATTGAAACACAAGCCAAGTTGATTAACTAAATATCTGGGCAAATTCCTGATGTTACCCTAAGTACCATATCTCGTCTGTACACTCCAAATCGCTTTTTCCACTCAAAGAAATCAATCATAGCCACACTTGGCCCATTCACTACCACTGCCATCTATTTGGCAGGATATGTTCACTGGTCGTCCTGAAGTGCCAGGGTCATTTACTTTATTGATTACAACTTTCTCTTGTTTTCCGCAACAAATACGGGCAAAAAAAAAGAACACAACAGCAATTTGAGTTAAGCGTGGCAACCTCTGTGGATATATCCACAATAACTGGCAGGATATTTTCCCATAGATGACCGAAGAGGTGGAGGCCAAATGTTTTTCCCACTCTAACACAAAAACTTGCCACAAAAGTAGCCTTGATTAAAGCTGCTTTATGCCGGGGATAAAGGAAGTGTGTTTTCGGAGTGTGGAAAATCGACCTGTTTTGGCTTTCGTTTTTCTTCTTTTTTCTGTAATGTCATGGAATTGCATAAATATATTTTCAATTCGCTTGCAATCACTACAAATAAATAAAGCGTAAACCGAGCACCGAGAGCAGCATAAAACTGTCATAATTTATGAAGTTTATCGTTTGGTTCCTGGTTTGTCTTTTTTTTTATTTGCCGAGGCACCCAAAACGCATTTGTGTCAATTTAAATTTATGTAAACATAAAATGGCTAACCAAAAAAAAACAAAAAAATAAAAAAATATACATCCCGTGTGAGAGATGTGGTCCTTTTTACTGGGCTATCACATTTTTCATTCGGTTTTGTTACTCTATTTTGTAAATGGGGAAGTTACAAAAAATAGGCTGATTGGTATTTGAAAATAATTTGTATTCTGATCTCTCACTTTAAATAATTTCAAAGTTTATTACATCATATGCTATAAATAAGTACATTTTTATATTTTTTTTCGATTTTTTATGCTGAATATTAATTACTTTTTTTTATTGAAAATAAATATGTTGGTAATCCCCTAAAATTCTGTGGTAAAATGATAAAAATATTTAAATATTATGTTAAATATTATAAGTTTTAAGAGTAATCAAAAATCCTTAAACCAAAAAAATAAAAAATTCAGCCTCCTTGGTTAACCCCCAAGTTGCCTCCTCCTTTTTTCCTCTTTATGATTTAATGCGCGCGGCACGCCGTGACGTTCACTTAGGCATGGACAACACAATAAAACTCCACAACAGCCAGAGGAATATCAATATGGGGCTGAACAGGAAGGGCAGGAGCCGTGGGGACGAAGGACAGGCCAGCAGGATACGCTTTCCAGGGCCGCCTGCGCACTTTTGACATTTCATTATCCTGTTAAGTATTCAAAAGTCAAGCAAGCAGGCACAGACATAGGAACAAGGATGAGGATGTTGGACTTGGCAAGGGAAGACTGGGAGATGTCTGGGCCATGGCCAGAAACATCACGAGGCGGGTGAAGGTAGGGGAATGTCCTGCTGCGTTACCAGCTTATCATTTATGCCAAACGCGTACTTTTTGGCTTTTAGTCGCATCCCGGCTCCTTGGCTCCTTCCTTTGCCATTTGTTTTGTCTGTCCGTAATGCCATGCGGAATTGCCTTTGTGTCCTTGCCGTTTATGACATTGTATTCGAATCTCTGTCTGTATGGGTGTGTATAAATTACATTACATAACAAGCAATATAACAAACGATAACAAACACCTTGCCACAAACACACGCAGACACAGGCACAGAAAGCAACGAGGAAACGACAATGAGGAAATATGGAAAAAGGTGGCAGGAAGACAAAAACAATTTAATAAAAATGTTTCAACGACTTCGATTCGTAAAGATCTGCTTTATGGTCTGGCATTTGTTTATGCCAAATGTTAATGATAGCCCGATATCTCCTTTCCTTGTGTGGCTAATAAAAAATTATTCGCATTTTGCCACTGCCCTTGGCGAATTCAATTTGCTAATTTCACTCGAGTGAACTTTTCAATGTTGTGATTGGCAGTGAAGGCAAACATTTGATTATAATTCACTAATTATTTATGCATTGCTAACATAAATTGATGGACTTTGACTTGGGGAATTATTTATTCATTTGTCTGAAGAAGTATTTTTTATTTATGACTTTCATTAAGTTTTACTTCAGTGAATTTTATTTGAAAATTTAGATTCACCACATACTGTAATTGGCAAAAGATTGTCTGAGAATTTAGGAAACCACAAACAGTAAATTTAAAATCTTAAAGAAGTTAAAAAGTGGTTAAGGACTTACTCAACAATATATCAATTTTATGCGTATTCATACCATTACTAACAACCTCCACTTATTTTGAGCCTTCACCAACTCAAACTGATTTTTGTGGTATAAAGAAGATTGAAAATAAATTCATTATTTTATTTATGTTAAATACTTTGCTTCCTTGTGAATATCACATTTCATTTTGGTCCATTGAATTTGATTTAAAATTTCCACTCGACTTCGTTTGAAAATCTTTAATTGTCTGTCAAGAAAATTAGACAATCGATTGAACCGCAAAAAGTCAATTAAAATTCTCATAGAAACACTCCAGCTGACAAGCGCTCTCGGGCAATTTACAGCCTCTCCCTATTGAATGCTACCCTCTGTAATCCTGGATGAGTCCTGAAGATCTCCAAGCTGGGCATCTCAATAAAGCAATCAGTGTGTGTAGCAACTTGCAATATAAATTTCATTTTCCTTGCAGGTCACTCGTGGAGGAGGCAGATCCTTGGAGCGGGAACAGCCAATGCAACCTGCACAGACATCATTAGACGTGAATAGCAACCACACGTGAGTAACTCGGGGGCTTTGCGCCCGCAGACAAACACACATAGACTATATCGACACTATATATCTCGGACATGTGTCGGCCATCAACTTATGCAATCAACGATTTGGCTTTGACCGGGCAAACTGACTGACTGCCTGCCGCTGGGTGCTATGTAAACGGGGCAAAGACGGTGGCCCAAGGAGCAGGACGACAGGCCCGGGCAAATGTTTATTTAAGCATAAAGCCACGTACGCCCTAACACATATACTTGCCAATCCAAGCACTGAAAAAAAAAAAAGAAAATGTTATCTAAAACTTGAGGGATTTTTGATTTCTCTGAAGCTGAAAATAACAGTAATGTTATATTCGGAACTTTAGGCCTTGAAACCAGGTTAAAGTTAGTTTAATATTATGCAAGAATATTTTTCTAGAATTTGTGTTCTCTGTACTTCCACTGTCCTTTAGTGTGTGCGTTGGGAGCTATGTACTTAGGCACAGCTGTACTTGCAGTCCTTGCCTGGTAATTACATACAGACTACGGGAAAGGACTCCTCCCACTCCAACATCCTTCTAGCCATATCCCTTTCCCCTCACCCATTCCCATCTCCTTGGGCGGCTGGATAAATATTTGGTTTAACCTTTTTCCTTTTGTGCGGCTTTGTATTTGCCTTTGGTTTTATGGCAGCGCCTGTGTCACTATTTCATTTCGATTTGTGCCGAGTTTGCCGCAGTCCTTAGCCAGATTTGTATCCTTAATTTATTTGTTTGCGATTTTCTGATATTTTGTAATTGAGTTTTTCCTCTTTTTTTATGCTGATGAGGGTTTTAGCACAAAAAACGCAGTAAAAGATGTCAAAAAAGAAAAGTACGGGAAAGCTGAAGCAAACTGTTGATATTCATTGGACAGGACACGTTCACAGGCAGGATATTTATATTAGGACGTGAGTGTGAATGAAAATATGTCCCCTGGGAGACTGGGATGGAAGTACTGAGCTTCCTTAGTCGTCTTAATTTATCGCTATGAATGAATCACTGTGCCTCAGAGTTTGTTTCTGGGAAGGACACGTGCCTTTTGGCGACAGGATATACTTTTGACTTAATTTGATTTCACCCGAATGAATTTCAATTAGCTGCAAATGAAATTTACGCCACGTTAAGTGATTCGCAGCAAGATAAAAGGGGTTTCGTCAACTAGCTAAACCGGATGAAGTCTGAAATTGAAGGCAAATTTCTCTTTCTTCTTTTGGGTTCCGCAGATTGATTATGATTTGTATCTGGAAACTTAGAGTTCGGAGCTCCCCCACACTCCTTGTTCTAGCTGAAAGCCTTTGTTAAGCACCAACACTTAACCGTGTCAAGCTCGGATTTATAGCTCCATGAGCACTTCACATCCTTCAGATACCTTCTACCCCCAATCCCCATAGATTGTTACTCAGCACTCTCCATCCCAGTTGTTAGTTTTCCCGTTTGGGCCCCCAGTTGATTGATTTCTGTTCTGGTCGGGTCAAAGAGCAGTCTAAGCCCGCCCTCCATCGCAACCTCACAGCTTCACATCCGGCACAACACTAGTCTGACAGTATATTGACGCGCAGTCATAAATAAAAACACTCAGATATTCATGCCAATGATTCCTTCTATTTTTTTGTCTATTTTTTGGTCTGAATTCGACTCTCGGCTGTTGTTGTTCATTGAGTAGAGCCTGCGGCAAAAATTCCCCATACCAGATACAAATTGTATCACTTAATATTTGTAGACTCCAGGCTCTTCTACACAGAGAAAAAATAAAGAAAGGTGTTAAGATAATATTATAGATATTCAAGAGTGGTGTTCTACCATCAATATAGTATTATCATAAGTATCCTGTCATTTGAAAAGTTCAAAATAAAGATAGTTTTTTGACTTCTTAGATTTAAAACTCATTTTAAATGGTTTGAGTCTTTGATGTCTATTTTATAGTATACTTTTAGGATCGACGTTAACCCACTTTTGGTTTGTGTAGCGATGTTGCATGTTGACGTTGCCTGGTTTTGATCCTTTTGCAGTGGGTTGTGTATAGATTCGGTTCTCCATCAGTTTGACCCCTTGAACGCTGAGCGTTTTGTTGATGATTTGCGTGTTCTTGAATAATTGATGGAATGACAATCTTTCGATGTGTCAGCATTGTTGTCACGCGTTGTTATCATCCCGAAAAGCGGCAACAACATGGCGATGATTATGTTCATCATCATTATGACGCGAATGCCAGTTTGGTTGTCATCGCTGACAGCGGTCGTTGGCATCGTGTGTGTGTTCTGAATAATAAGATGCTAACGTTGCAATACACCCAGCTATAATGTGGAGATACCACGGCTTATGAATGATGAGCAGTCAAACAATCAGCTTTGCCCTCCAGAGATCGGGATTTATACTGATTTCCACACGGGGAGTGAGACATTAAATTGAGGCATCAGCTGCTAATGCCATCACCATTATGCTCAACTTCAAAAATTAAACAAGATTAATTTGTTGGCTCGTTTAAAATGGCTTAACAATATCATTAATTTCATTGGCCAGGCCAAAGCCGAGAGCAAACATATTCCAGCGGACAAACATGGCTTAAAAATGCTTAAAGCCGTCGAATAATAAGGGGGTGATTATGGTTGGGCGTATCATTAATCAATTTACGGGTAAATGGCCATTTAAAGAGGTCATAAAATCCTGTCAGCGAAGCCTCAACTTGAGGTCAGATTTTTGCAACTCGTCTTTTTTCGGGTCAAACTTTTTGCTTCATAATTTTTTGGGGCCCTTCTGGGCCAGTTCCGTCTTCGTTGTTATCTATTCATTAAATTTAATGATATAGCTCCCCAGTGTTGAGACATCCTGTGTCTGTTTTGAAACCATCAGAACTCTGTGGCAAACATTTTTAAACGGACCTGCTCATTTCCGAAGTGACACACACATTTTGTCCTAGATCGCCTCGAGCGGCTGAATGGGTTGGTCTAGGGGTTTGGATTCGGCTTCCTTCCCTTTTATCATAATTATAAACACAAAACAGACAGCAGGATGGATGGATGGATGGTTGGTTGGTAAATGGATGGGTTTTTCAGTGGATGTGGATTCAGTTGTTTTGCTCCTTTTTCCTTGCACTTTTCCCATTCAAGCCAAGCAACATGTGGCAATATGTGCTTTGGCCCACATTCGCCTCGCAATTAACAGATCAGAGAGATGCAGTCTCAGTCCTATATATATTTGAACATTAAGGGGTTCTTCTAGGACCTGTGATACTGATTCCGGCCCTCCTTTGTTAACAGCTCTCATGTGCCTCGTTGCCCTTTATTATTGTTGACTGTCCTGTCCTCCAGAAGTCTTTATGTCCATGTCCACATCCATTTCCATTTTCATTTCCATTCCCATTCGCATTTACATTTCCCCCGTCATCGTTCATTGTAATTGCGATAATTACGACAAGGACTGGGGATAGCTCCTTGGAGCGGCACCTTAATGAAGCAGCATTCAATGCAGTCCATTGATGCAGTCCCTCTGCATCCGAATGGGCGTTCCACATGAGTTGGCTATGAGTGATGGCCACTCATCCGTCGCCCCGCCTCAACGATTCCCTCGATGTTCTGTTTATCCACTTAGCAGCTGACGACGAGGTCCGTGTCGTTAATTGAAATCTTTCGCATTAAGCCACCTCCGAACGCCGCTCGCCTTTCACCTCCCGCCGTTATTTTTGCTTTTCCACTTTGTAGCCGACCGCTTATTGTTTTTGTTATTAAAGTTTAATTAAATACCTTTTTAAAAACGCTCACGCATGAGTGGGAAATATTTTTTAATGAGCTTTTTCGCCTTTTGTGCGCAAAATGAAAAACAAGCCTCTGCTACGTTGCCAACACGGCGTATGCGTGTTCTTAGCGCGTAAATTGATTGCAAACAAAGGCTCACACACACACACGGCCAGCAGGCGAAATAATTACCACTCCCAGACTTAAAAGATCCACCATAAATATATCGCTTTTCATACTTTTTATTTATCGCGAAAGTGTGAAAATGCAGGTGACTTTGGGGCGGCTTAAGCCCCAAGGGAAAAGCGAGGAAATTATTATTAAATGTGCTCATCCGCATCAATTGCAGATGCCTATGAAAAACTGTTACTTCCGTAGTTCAGCTTACTCTGAAACGAAATCAATTAGTAGTATTCTTGAGCTGGCCATTGTTCAAACATTAACTGCAATTATCTGTCTTTGCCGGAAATCAATTGAATTTGCTTTGTTTTCTATGAATTTTGATACACATAATTGGTAATTACCAATTAAACACTTCAAACTTATTAATTATATTTAATCTGTTATGATATGGAAGCTTTTTTAAAGTATTGTTTTTAGTTTTTGTTTTTGATTCTTATTTAACCATCAAAATGTGTTTAATTACCTTAATCAAGCCTTTTTACCATCATTAAAAACATAAATATATATATATTTAACCATCAATTATATAACTCACCGCAACTGTTTTATAATCTTATTAAAATTCCAAATAAAATGAATAAATGCTCTTAGTTTAAGATTTATTTATGCATATTTAATGCCAAACTTTCTTTTTTTGACTTTAGCAAGGCCGTCTTTTCCCATTCGGACATTTTGATTTTTTTTAACTAGCTCAAAAGCAGAATGCAAATTAACAAGATATAAAAAGTAACCTTGCCCTGAAAAGATACATAATAACTATGTCAGAACTGAAACAAGTACCTGTTCATTGAGCTTTTTATACCAGTAACCAGATTAATTACCCCTCCGCCAGCCTCTGGCCTAAAAAGAATAACATAAAAACTTTGTCTGGGCTGTCTGAGTACCAAAAAAATATTTCATGAAAATATTAAAGGTGGGTGCAGGTGTGAAAATCTGTGGGGAAAATGTAAAAAGAGACAGAGAAAGCCCAACTGAAATGCAAAACAGAAAGTTGGCTAAGGGGCGAGGAGCGTGAACAGCCGTAACCATGGCTGTAGTCGTAACCATTAGCCGTAACCAAAAACCGAGCCAGACATTGAATTGACCTTAATAAAGTCGACTGAGACAGCTTCGACCTTTTTTTTTACTTTTCTTACCTTTCTCTGCCACCCAGCAAATAATCCCAACTCTCTACTTACAGAAAATGCTGATACTGCTGCCGCTGCTTGGTATTTTTGGTAATGGTCTCGTTGCTGAAGTCGAGGCGAGTCTGAGTCTGGGCTTTAAGGCCATCAAAGTGAGTTTTTGAACAAAAACGAAGCAGCCATGAAAATCTTTATGAATGCCATTAATGCTCTTTCCTTAATTATGCAATCCCAACCGCCGTCCCTGGATCAGTTGCCCAGGCATCCGAATCCGGGTAAGTTCCTTAGGATTTTGGCCATACTCAACGATTTCAATTGAATTGCACGATGTCGATGCGTATTTGCAATTGATTTGGGAAAGAAGATTTACGAATCCCATTTACTGTTTGCTTCATTAATCAAAGGCCTGAGTTGTCATCATCATCACCATCACCATTACCATCATCACCATCACCATTACCATCTAGTGGGTCTCGCAAAAATGATTTTCTTGAAGTGCAATTCCTAGCTGAAGTCTAAAAGGCTATGAGGAAATGTTTTTCTTTTCTGTCAAGCCATTAAGTTGAATCTGAATTTTCTTCTTACTTGTCAAATAAATATTTATGTTTGAGTTTTTAGGTAAGGAAACACACACAGAGCTTTGGAATTTAGATTGGGATTTAGGTAGGAGCAACAATCAGAGCTTTAAGCCTGAAGTCGATTAATAAAATAGAAAAGATAGAAATTTATAATTTTTGTGGTACCTTATTAGTTGTTTGTATTCCCCATAAATTCACCTAAATGAGCCCAATTTAAAAGCTACTTTTCAAGGAAAAAGAAAATAAAGGGATTACCAAATGACCGGACACAATCGAAGAGCCAAAAATTTCATTAAAACTTGTAGACAGGAAATGTTATTTTTTGTTCTCAATGCCACAGAACGCTTTGGCAAAAGTTGGACCCATTTCCTAACATTTATTGTGCACCTATATCCTGTAGATCCTGGCTTAGCAGATTCCATCTCCTGGGGAAAAGTCACACGCACACCAGCTCAAATGCCTAACTAACGAGTAAAGTGATTTTAATGGTTTTATGTTCGATTCTTTTTCTTCATTTTCCCATTCCTCCCCACTCCATTATTTTTTTCTTTTTTTTTTAGGGGGTGTGTGTGTTCAATTCCTTTCGACATGTGCCATTTTCCATGCTCTTTCTGTGTGTTCTGAATGCTTTCCATGCAGTCCCCCACATGATGTCGTAGAAAGCTGTTCAAAATTAAACAGCAGCAGTCCGAACTGTGCCAGAAACTTTTCGATTCGAGGGCGTTACAACAAATCCAACCCATATCGTGCTCCATATACACTTGTATATATAATATTGGCCCTTATATCCCATTCCACCCCTGTTCGAGTCAAAAGTTTTGAGTCAAATGCCAATACAGTTTGTGTATGACCAGGACCAGAACCAGGACCAAAATAAAAGTTAGCCGGCCAAGCTGAGCTGAGCTCCAGGGCCTGGCACGTAGTCCACCGACTGGTTGTGCCCCGGGTTTATAGCCATGCCCCACACGTTCTTCCTGCAGCCACACAGGCAAAAAGTTATGAAATTTTAATCTTTATCAGTATTTTAAATGCTAAAATGCCCTTAAAACTATGAGATTTTTCATAACTTCTTATTACTTTATATTTTGAGATAAATTTCGATTCGCTTTATTGATTTCGTGTGAGGTAATAAGTGGTCGTATTGCATTATAAATAAGATTATTTTTCTTCCTGTGCACTCCTCAATAGCTCATAGCTAGGATGTATTGTCCAGGCATTGCGGAACAAGTTTATTTAAACTGTAGAACTTGCTCTTTATTCGCATCTCCTACCGGACCAAAATCCGGAAACTTATCGGGACACGAAAAATGCTGAGACGCTGTGAACTTGGTCAAACATATTTGTGAATACGTGAAGCAATGAAGAGCTCTGCCAAACAAGCCAAGAACCAACAAAGTTCACTCCGAATGAGCTGCAAAGATTAGTCAGAACATATCATTTGCAGACGACGTCATGGAAAGGCCAAGTCGTATAAAGGGAAAGTTTTTAAAAGTTCACTTTCAGGGAAAAGACACTTTTCAGGAGTTCCTTGCCATAAATTCCATAAAAACCGATACTTATGTGTGCTTTCTTTGAGTGTAATGCATTTTATTTATTAAAATTTGTCTTTTTTCTTTTCCAAAATTAACAAAATTATTTTAAATCGAATAGAAAAAATAATTTTTAAATTTGAACTTAACCAACTTTAATATTTTCAGTGAAATCTTAATTGTATTTTCTCCTGAATAAACTTAAATTTCTCGTTAAGCTAATAGTGTTTTGGCAAGCACTTTTGAGCTCGTTGAACTGGCTCATACCTTTGGCTTTCCTTTAGAAATCTTTGCCAAGTGTGTTCAAACATATCCCAGGGCCATTGGCAATCTGTAGTGCAGATTTTAGTTTGTGAAGTAGAATTGGGCACAGTTTTCCAGTCCACAATCCCATGACATCCCAAGCAAACACTTTAGAAGCAAAAATTGCGCATACGCAGCATGGGCTGGAGATTGAAGCGTTTCTTTTTGGAACTTTTTTTTGGACTGCCGTTTGCCATAGCCGTTTCCATGATCCGCTGCAGGGCCAACGGCGTAAGGCACTCAAAACTTGTCGCACACGCTCGAGTGTTGTAAATCTTTGCACGACTTAAGTAAATCTAAAACTCTAAGTAAAACAAACACTACACACCACACAGACACACTACCAAGTCCGATGGCATAGCCTCACAGAGGCCGCATAAAACAAATAAACTGCGCACACGTGACCCCAAACAGGGCGCCAGGCGGTGGAAGGGGATGGTGATGATGACCCCAACAAAGGGACACGGGGTCACAAAAAATAAAAAAACATTCTGTACCAACAGAAACAGAAAGGGTAGACACCAAGCCAAGAGTTTATTTCGAAAGGCAAGACATCGAGTTTAGGTTGGAAAATGTCTGTCTGTATGTACATTATATTTATCACCAAGCTGAGTTAGGGGAACTCTCAAGTGCGCCTTGCCAAGTAGATGAAAGTCCTTCTTTTTGTCATGGTACGGCAGTTAAAACTATGTCATTGTAAATTCCAGGAGTACTTCCGTTTTTCTTGCTCTTAATTGTACACATAGAATATTAACAGGTCTATAAGTCACTATAAGTTGTCTCGAGAAAAGGAAGCACTATGATATTTTCGTTAGCACAGATGTGGTCGTAATGTTATTTAAAAATGTATGTAAGATGATTGGATATTATCTATGGTGTAGGTTATGGGTTCGAAACTTATTTAGAGCGAATTTTCAACAGCCTAACACGTTTTCGGCTGATAATTTTACGATGCTACAAATTTAAATTTTGTTCCGACGTCTTCTCCTTTTTATTCACGTTACTCGGAGAGTAAAAGGGTATACTAGATTCGTTGAAAAGTATGTAACAGATAGAAGGAAGCTTTTGCGACCCTATAAAGTATATATATTCTTGATCAGGATCAATAGCGAAGTCGATTGAGCCATGTCCGTCTGTCCGTCCGTCCGTCCGTCCGTATGAACGCTGAGATGTCAGGAACTATAGCAGATACAAAGTTGAGATTAAGCATGAAGATTCTTGAGGTCCCGGGACAGCGCAAGTTTATTACAGCATCCTGCCACGCCCACTCTAACGCCCACAAATCGCAAAAAACTAAAATTGCTGAAATCTCAGGAACTATTGCAGTTAGAGGGTTGAAATTCAGAAAGTATAATCTTTAGATGGCAGCGCATCTTATAGTGGTACTACTATCCGGCCACACCCACCCATACGCCCACAAAGCTAAAAAGACGGTTTTCGGATTTTCTAGAATAGCTGATATCTCGGTAACTATAAGAGATAGAAAGTTCGGATTAAGCATGTAGGTTTCTATGATGCTCCCAATGCGAATAGTTTTTTTTTCCGATCAAGTCACGCCCACTCTAACGCCTACCAAACTTGAAAAAGCAAAATTTTGCGTAGGAACACGTATTTAGGAGATGCCTCTGCAACTTGCCACGAAGTTGCATCCGGCCACGCCCACTCTAACGCCCACAAACCGCGGAAAACTGTGTCGTCTATAACATTATTATGAATGCCTTCGTTTGACCTTTCGTAACTTATTTCTGTTAATATCTATCGATTTACCAAAGATTTTTAAATCGGAAAATTATTTCGCTATTTATAAAGAAATTAAGTTATAAGGCCTCACAGGCCTGGGCAGTGACGTCACTATAAACATACTCAACATACTTCCTCTGACAATAGGTGGCGCATTGTGAATTTCCACTAGCAAAATAATATTTTAAAATTTTGTAAAACAGTAACGGGTATCTTATAGTCGCGGCACTCGACTATAGCTTTTCTCTTGTTAGTGCTGGACATTCTCAAGCGGCTCTTCGATTCACGACTCTATCCGATATTAGTAGGGCTGCCAACTGACTTGCATAACGCCACCTCACATGTACATTAGTTTAACATTATGGGACTTTTACATTTTTTCTATCTATGAAAGGTTATTTTGTTTAAGAGGATTTTTATTTTCAAGGGCACGGAATAATCGAGCTGAATTATATAATTTTTTAGATATTATTACTTTTGTTTTTTTTTTAAATTACTGTATAGGTGTCTAATCTTGATTATGTTTTGTAGAAGATATGGATCATTATGTAAAGTTATTTTAAATTACTAAAAATTTACCTGTTCATCAAATATATCAATTTTAGATTGTGTTTAATTAAATCAGCAGTCGACGATAACCCATTAAAATTGTGCAATAAACTTGTTAACAAAAATTATTTGACAATTTACACCAGATATGAGGTGCTGTAGCTGTAGCATCCGTTAAAAGGATAACAGCATTATATTTTTAAGATACAATTTTTGTTTCATATTTTAGCTTTTAAAACCAGTTTTTCTGCTTCTTAACTTTTAAATCTTAAAAAATTCACCTTTCATCTCGAAACAAATGCCATTTGGCCGCCTAACATTATTGACATCAAACGCAAACAAGTTAAATATCATCCGATATTGTCCATTAGGCAACAGCATGGGCACAGAAACTTTCATTTTCAGGACATATGGCCTCAAATAATATACAGTCTAAAAATACAAATTGTAAAAACAAATTTTATTCATCATAAATCGTATAGTATAGATCATACTTACTCCTTTATAATTGAAACATTTTTCTCGGGCTTCTTCTTGATTGATTACATGCTTAGGAAAAAGCTCATACCAATATTGTTGCGGGTCGACATAACATTTACAAAAATCGCTGGACATCATATTATATATGGTCGGTTGCCAAATACCGCGCTGCAAATGTACGATGGCAAGGCGGGCCTCGATTCGATCCGTTGGCTCTATATCCCAATTACTGGTTGTATTGCCACTGACGTGTATCCCATCGGGACCCATTTCCAAGGTCATATTCGAAAGATCGAACAGTCCACCCATGCCCGGATATCCTTCGGGATTATCCAAACAGTCAATGAACACCGATTCATCATCCATAACATACTCGTACATATATCCAAGCGAATGTTCCACAACTCCTAGCAGTATTATTGCCTGCCATGGCAACAGAAGCCTGAGATTCATTTTATAACTTTTTTCCGAATGGTTAGTCGATCTAGTTGATGGCTCTTTTATATGATTTTTGTATATAATCAACGCTTTGATATGCAGATTGTATCTTTTATTTGGTGTAAAAAATATCTAGATAAATCTGAAAATACAGATTGACAATTTTTGTTTTAAATTGTTGAAAAGATTTTCATGTTGATAAGAATTAATTGTCGGCAAAGCTGTAATGATAATAATCTTCCATTTCCTATTTTCATAAAATCTATCTAAAAATCGTTGAAACGTACCCCTAAATTGTAAATACACTGCTTTAAAACGGATTTTTAATACGTTCTTTAAAATGATGTTAATGTAAATATTTAAAGTTGCCTCTTTGGAAGCTCGTAGAGATGTTAAAGTTTTTGCATTTACAAAGGCTAAGTGAATCCTTGTAGTGAACTTACTCAGACAAAGCACCCACACAGATGCACATTCAAAAATGTCAGTGCCTAGGCTTGTTTACGAATGTGTGTGTGAGTGTTCAAGGTAGACGCCTTCTTGAGAGTACGGAAAAACACATTAAGAAGATTGCACTTTGGAAAATGACACGACAACGCAAGGAGCGACGGGTGCAATGCACGTAGAATACTTCCGGCGTTGTCCGACGTTCGCTGGGGACTTTTCAATAATAAACGCAAATTGCTAATGTCATAAAGATGCGACAACGTGCCCATATTCATTACAATCAGCAATAGCAATGCCAATTTTCGCATTAACCATTGATGCCAAATGAATGATGATGCCCAAGGAGGCGGGCGCACACGTCTGTTTCTCGTCCTTTCGAAAAAGTCACGTCGCCAGTGAAATCAATTCAAAGTGGAAAAGTACAGGGCACGTACCCGATCCCCTTGCACACACAAACACAAGTGGGTGGTGACTCCTCCTCCCTTTTGGGGTCGGTGCTCCCGCAATCTGTGTCTGCGAACCGAATTCAACTCCACAGTGCGATTGCAAATGCCCCGCCACAAGTCGGAGTAATTGTGATTGGCGGCTACACATACGAGTTTTTGGCCAGGCCAAAACAAGAACCTACACAAAGGCTGAAGCAGGAACAGTAACAGCCACAGTACACTTGGAGAAATAAGACCAGAGTATTATTAATTAATTACATTCAAACAATCTGATGTTCGCTGAAGAAAATATTTATTTGTCGCTCTTCATAGAAAAAATTAAAGGAAAAACTAAATCAACCAAAAACATTATTATTATTATTATTATTATATTATTATTTATTAATTATATATTCTTATAAACTATTAATGAATTTTCTAATTTTTAAAATTTAAAAATTTTGAAAATGTAAAAACGTAAAAAACATTTGGAAGTTTCTTAGAACATTTTTTGGGGTAAAAACCAACCTTCTTTATAACATTTTCTCTTCATTTTTTCTAAGAATACCCTAATAAATGGTTTTTCTTCTCGTGATACAAAGAATGAGGCAAAAACAAACTTTTGCTGGCTAATGGCATGCCATAAACCAGCGGCATTTGTCAATATCAATTTTGATGAGACACGAAGGCATACGGTGGCCCGGCAGCAGGTCTATTGTTTGCGCTGTAAATATGCGATTCCAGCGAAATTTATAACAAACAGCACTGACATTAATTGGGTTCCCATTCATTGGAATTGCACATACGACATGTATTACGCATTTGATGACATAAATTAGCAGTGAAATGAAGCCAGGAAGCCAAATGAAATGTCAAAGAAACTGATTTCGAAAAAAGCAAACAATATTTGAAGTTAAAGAGTTTATGTGCAAATTCAATTCGACTTCGTCTTTCCTTGGAACATTTTTCTATTTTTATGCTTATTTGAGTCTTCTATTTTCTATTTATCCCAAACTGCTTTTTTACGTTGACGACAATGGAAACCAACCCAACATCTGGATCGGGACTTGGTCTTGGCTTCGGATTCGCCTGCAGCCAATTGCAGCGTTGGCAACACAACATTCGCACATGGAGTCACATTTAAATTGGATTGTAAAACTCAATGCGTTTGCGAGGTGAGTCGCGGGTTCCAGTTCCGAGTTCCCATTTCCCAGTTCCCAGCCGTTGGCCAAATTCTGGGGGCCATCCGCATAAGAGTTGGCCACAAACCACAGACATCCAGAGATATGTACTATACTATATATATACAGCGAGGCAGATACAGATATCGGAACACAGAAAGCATTTCAGTTAAAAACCAACTGCAGTTTCGTTAAACGATTCTCGTTGCCATTGTTGTTGTTTAACCTGTGCTTAGTCCCGCTTTTCCCGCCACTTTTCCATTTTGGCTGCAGTTTGGCCCTTTTTGTATTTTTGGTGGGATTAGGACCAACACTTGCACCATTTGAATGTGAATTGCTTTGCTCGGCGGCGATTTTAATTAAAATTTAAATATAGTGTGAAATGTCCGGAATTACAATTGCACAGTAGTTTTTGATAGCGACCGTAATGGGAAAAAGACTGTTTCGCTAATGAGATTAAAACACTGTTTAACAGTCATTATGTTGGCTGGTGGAAGGAAACTAAAGGTATCCTAGTTTTAATTTTACTAATATAAAATGATAAAGATAAAATGGTTTTATAGTTTTCTCTTTATGCTTAATATGTGATTAAGGGCAGATAATCTTAATTTAACAATATCTTTTTTTACTTATCATATTAAATTTAAATGCAGAAGCATTAGCAACTTGCTGTTGACTGCCGAAAAAGATTTAAAATCGATGGACTGAAGTAAAAAGTGAAGTTACGTGAAAGTGAAGAAAGTTAAACTGCCTTAATTATTCCAAAGTTAAGTTTATTAGACAAACAGTACTGATTTTCCAAATCCCAGCAAATAAAGCCTTCATAACAAGCCTTCGTAGCAGAGTCGAAACAAAAGAAAAACTAAATCCTTGACATTGCTTTATGACCAGAGCGCAATTTTATAACTGCTTCTAGTTTTTCCATGCCTCGTTTGGTTTTTGCACCTTATTTCCAGCTGCGCTGGCAGTTTATCATGTGGCTAATACAAGCACAGCCACTTGCAATTTATGCAATGCAATTTCGTGACGATGCCAAAGACAGAGAGTGGGGCAAAAAAGAGAATATCTTCGGTCTCTAACCGCTTAGAGAAGAAAAGTGGATTACAAACAAAGCAGTGGAGGGCCAGCACGAAATGTTAATTTCCCCATAAACTAAAGCACACATAAAGAAAAAAGCAAAACCCCAAAAACACAAAGTTCGTGGCCAAGTCGAGGACTTTGGCAAGTTCTTGGCCATCCTTGTGCGATTTGGCCAATATTTTCTTTACATTATGACTTTATTTTCGGTTGGCCCGGCCAAAGCTAAATAAACAACCCAACAGCAGCTACAATGGGCCACATTTAATGTATTTTAATGTGGCATTGCAGAATGGCCGCCACGCCTGCTCGACGCTCTGTCCCAACGAGCAGCTCCCGGCGCCGGAGGACACGATTTCCTGCCGATCGCCGCGCCTCGTCGAAGTTCCCGGCCACTGTTGCAAGATGTGGCTATGTGAGAATCCAACAGCTGATGGTAAGTTTCCCTCTTGCACTTAGAACAAAATACATGTCTAATAATTGTAAAGATTTCTTTATGATGTTATTGGTTGAAAAAAAAGTCAAGTCAGAAACGGCTTTAAATTATTTTCATTTATGATAACTTTACTTTTTTCACAGAAGACATTATGAAGAACACATTCAGGTTTTTTTTTCTTAGTGCAGTCACATTTCCACTGCCAAGGCCTCGTTATTGTTTTATAAGTGTGTTTATGGCTGTGGCCATCCCATTGTGACCACTTCCTGCCCCCACCGCTATCCAACGCCCGCCCGCTGGTTGGAGTTAATGGCGCTCAGGGGCGTGTCGTGCTGTGTCCGATGCGAAACTTAATGCTTTTTAAGCGCCCCCAAAAACCCGCTTCCTGCCCCAAAAACCGAGTAGAGAGTGCAGCGCATATTTATGAAGATGAATTATTCCAGCACGAGACTGGGGGCCACCGGCAGGAGCAAATGCTGGAGCGGCAGCGTAATTACTTACACAAGGATTAAGTGTTAATTAAACGCGCAGAATGCAATAAATAAACAAGATATTAAGCGTTCCTGCTGGCAGCTACAGGGTATGGCCTTTGGCGACTTAAATGGAAAGCCCAGCAGTTGAGACCTTGAAAGAGAGGCTCACAGGATCTGGGGAGTTGAAGCCCTCTTCTGGGCAGCAATTAGTAGGCAGGGAGGTCAAGTTTCTGTTGGAATCTCACGAGGTTGAAAGGGAATTACTTGAATGCCTGTTTATTCTCATTTTCATGTGGTTTATTTACTTATAAAAATATAATTAAATAAAAAGTATTTCAGCAACATCGACATTTTCTGTAACAAAAATACAACAAAGTAAATATTACAAAAATGCATTTTTTTAAATACAAACTCTAGCACTGACCTTCATTTAGCTGTCACCAAAGAATCCCGCTTAAAGGCAAACTCCAAAAAGATTTCCTCCAACCGTGTTTGCATAATTAAATAATCTTCAACATTCAACTTATGCATATTACTTTCCAGAAGATAAAATATGTCAACCAATATTTCCTTGTGTGGTATATAGTATGTTAACAGTCCATTATATTCCTCTTTAAATTCGGCATCAGGAATGTGGTTTATAATAAATCTATTAACCTTTAAAACCCTTTCTGGTAAGATGTGTTCTGTAGATCCCATTTTGAAATTTGTGGAATTTTTTTCCATGGAAGACCTTTTATCCGTTGATGACGAAGAGCTCTGCACTAGTCTTTGAAAAACTTTTTGCTTCTGCTTGACTTTTATTTTGAGTATCAGACCCTTTGAGTACTGATTCTTTAGACTTTGAACCGATCCCATGCACTTAAACTCCCCGTCTACCATTATGGCCAATCGGCTGCACAAGGCCTCACACTCATCCATGCTGTGGGAGGTCAGGACAATGGACTTTCCAGAAGTACGAATAAATTCTATAATTCCCCAGATCTGTCGTCTCGCCCCGGGATCCATGCCGCAGGTGGGCTCATCGAGATATAGAACAGAGGGATTTCCGAGGACTGATATAGCAGTGCTCAGTTTTCGCTTATTGCCACCACTATAATGCTTCGCCTGCTTATCCAAGTGCTGTGCAAATCCGAAAGACTTGGCCAGGGTCCAACATAAGACCTTTACATATCGCCGCTGCACTCCTCTCAATAGGCTATAAATATATAACGTTTCCCGACCAGTGAGATCTTCGAACAGAGCATCAAACTGTGGACAATAACCAATTTTCCTATAAACCTTATGAGTAGATATGTTTATGCCATCTACGTAGGCTTCACCTGAAGTTATTTTCTGATCACCAGCTAACATCTGAAAGGTTGAGGTCTTGCCAGCTCCATTGATTCCTAGGAGACCAAAACATTCGGCTGGGGGAACATGAAATGAAATGCCCTTCACAGCCAGTTTCTTCTTATAACGCTTGGTGATATTATTCACCAACAAAGGTATATCCATTCTTTGCGACTTAATCATTTCCTGGACAACCAATCGTTCCGCAATTACCTCCTCATTTTCAGGCAAAGATCCTCCTCTCAAACGCTTTCGCTTGGACATTTTGCTTAACTTTTCGTTAAGAGCTTCGAATACCTTTCCGTCTTTCATTATTGGTATCGAAAAAAGAATTACGCCCACTATCGACATATATACGATCTCTGGCAAAACACCAGGGCTCTGCCAGCCAAAATAGGGTGGGATATTACAACAAATTGGAACACTGCGGCAACGCTGTATTTCGCGTAAAATTTTAATGCCAGTCAAACTGCAGCCACGTCGAATATGGTATCCAATGTGGATGTGGTAAAGAGAACTGGCCACGCTGTAGTGTGGAAATATTCGAAAGTACCAGGCCATTTCGTCGGCCACATCTTTCAAATTGAAGGCTTCGAAGTTAAGGGTAACCACCACCACGAACAAACCACAACCCAAGAAGGTATTGCAAATGGAAATCCGAGTGAATCCTGTGGCTGGTTCGGAAAACCATGCAGCCAATACGTAACTTAGTGGGATTGCAGCAAATCCAAATATTAAGAGCATAAAAAAGTATCGACTCAGATCCAATGGTGTTGTATAGCTCACCTCCTCGAATGCAGCAATGGTAAATATAGCCGCTAAGGCTGATAGGAGAAATATGAAATAGTCCCATATAAGGTGACTTGTCCAGTAGGCAACCACATCCACTCCACTGAGATATTGCATAAGCTTGGCACGGGTCTCTCGCTCTTTAATGATGGGAATCGCAAAGAAGGCAGTTAGAAAACTCAGGGTTAAGGTTAGGTTGATGGATATTTCAGCCCCCAATCGCTGTGCTTTATTCAGTCGCAATGTTTTGGTATCATCGCTATATGGCAAAGGCTTGTTAGTTACATACGTCGAGGCATCCTCACCAAGTAATGTGATCGCCAAGGCATTATGCAGCAAGTTCAGGGTCAAGGGAGCGGTATGCAGGGGTTTATTATTTAACCACACAGTTAGTTTTTCTTTGTCAACAGTGAGCCCTGCTAAAAATGCAAAATCAACTCGTCGGTTTTGACTTTTGTTAAAACTTAGTATGAAGTCCTCGAATTTTTGGTTACCTGTATTATACAAAGTTAATTTCTCACCGTAATGATCCAAGTGTTTTATATAAGCCTCAGCCATGGGTGATGTCTTGTCATTAGCATTATCCTCCAATATAATGAAACAGCGTTTGTACGGAGTAATGGATATCGTCAAGGGGGGTAGTTCATAGTAAATTCTACCACCTCGAGAGTTAAATATGGTCAAGGACATAACTATTATGGGCAGACCTATCTGTATTCCAAAAAGCCAGTAATTTCTAATGGTGGTATATAACTTCTTTAAAAACAGAGCCTGCCAAAACATACATAAGCGAGATGATTTTCTCGTTTCCCTCACCTTGTCATCGAAAACCAAGTATTTAATATCCGAGCTTTCTCCACCATGAGACACTTCAGCTCCACCTCGAACTCTTTTATCCTTATTAACTGCCAGAAAAACATCTTCCAAAGAGGCTCCACTCAAGCCATAGCCATCTAATTTCAATTTAGCACAATTGCTATCCAAATCCTTCAGTAATTCCGCAAACTTCTTGGAAAAGCTGGTGGGCAGGCGATACCTTAGTTCACTGCCCATCACCTTTTCGGGTTTTAAGCGAGGCACATACTTGTTTATCAACTGGGTAACATTGTTGACATCACAGCCAGTCTGCATTAGGCAGACCAATAAATAGCCATTACCAAATTTCCTCTTCAAGTAGAAGGAAGTACCTTGGCATTGCAGCCTACCTTCAGATAAGATCGCTATTCGATCGCCCAAGACATCGGCTTCATCCATATAGTGAGTGGTCAGTAGAATAGTTCGCCCCTCCTTTTCACTTTGCAATAGATCCCAAAGACTTCTGCGTCCTGCAGCATCGATTCCAGAACTTGGCTCATCGCACAGAACAACCTTGGCATTGCCACAGAGAGCGCAACAAAGGGACAACTTACGCTTCATGCCGCCCGAAAGTTTATCAGCATCCACAAAAGACTTGTCCTTCAGATCCAGCATGGTAACGTACTTATTTACCTCGTTGTCCACCGCCTTCTTGCCTCGGATACCTTTCAGTTTGCTGAAGAATATAATATGATCCCGCACACTCATGCTCTTGAAAAGTATATTTATCTGCGGACAAACTCCCAATGATTGACGAGCTTTGGCCAAATCCCTGCGAATATCAAAGCCGTTCACTATGACCGTTCCTTTGGTGGGCTTAGTAATACCCGTTATCAGATTGATCGTTGTGGTCTTACCAGCTCCATTATGGCCAAGTAGCACTGTAATATCGCTGCGATACATCTTCAAACTTAACCCCTTGACGGCTCTAAGTTTTCCAAATGTTTTTTCCAGGTTTACCAATTGCAGTCCCACTTCCTTTTTATTTCTACTAACTGATCCATTTTTGGAATTTTCCATTGGATTGCTTAGGCGCTTTTCTTTCTTTAAAGGAGTCGTAAGTTCCTGCCAGAACTCCTTGCGACACAAAAAGTTCCATTTACGAGCAATACCATATTCCCCAGGGAATATCTGTTCTATATATAGACAAATACTTAAGAATACTAATGCTCCAAAAGTCATCGCCATGATAACATAAAATAGGGTCAGGTTATCATCAACCGAGACTGGGTGAAACATATTGGCCAAAGTGACTCCCTCTCCGGTTCCTTCCCACATGATTATGACATGCACGCCAAACCCCAAGGCCGAGTTTGGAAATACAAAGCAAATTATTAATTTTTGGGCGAGTGTAAGGCGTTCATAGTAATAGAATGAAAATGAATAGGGTATAAAGGTCAGAAACCACAGTATGGAAGCCACAGCCGATGCAGTGCTGGCTTTTTTAAAGAAAACCGCCAGCATAAAGGCAAAAGTAATTCCCGTAACGACATAAGTGTGCAAAAATAGTAAAATAGGAATCCACTGGGAATATGTTAGTACAGCAACGGAGTTATAAAATTTTACCATCATCATGATCAGGATAAAAAAGGCAACAATCATAAGCATACAATAACTCTTAATGAACCACGCCACCCAATGAAGCCAGTTATGAACGCCGATCAGTTTCATGATCTCCTTGAGCTGCATTTCCTTTTCGATGTTCACAAACTTGGTCACCGTCGAGCAGGGATAAATAAAGCTCAGCAGGATGATGAAGGGTAGTAGTTGCCGCAGTCCATTTAGCAATGGGTCATAGGTAAAGGCTCTATAGGGAAATCGCTGAAGACTTATATTTGGTAGTTCATTATCATTAATACCCGAAGCCAGTGTTAGCCAGGACATGGTCAGGGCATGTTGGATTGGCACAAAACCTTCTCTAATATATCCAACCGGAACTCCTCCATCGTTTTCCTCTCTGTTACGTGGACCTGACGTGTCATAAGAAAGGAATAAGGAAGATGTCCGCCACGTCTCTATAATTGGACCTGTCATGGTTCGCAATTCACTGGGAAATCGCAATGTATAATTCAAATTAAGTGGATATCCATTGACCATGGTTGCCTCCGCGTTGTCCTCGAAATCCACTCCGGCTAAATAGTTATGCATTACCATATCCCTCTCCATATGCAAAGCCGTGTCATAAGGTCTAGCCCCCAAAAGTCTCAGTCTCAATACCGTGGCATCAATAATAGCCCCATTTATGGGGGTATCTGGAGTATAGCAAAGGAAATTTCTTGGCAAATTAAGAGATCCATTCTCGTGCAATATCCGATTTCCCAGTATAACATTCTTCATATAAAGCTGTAGATCCGATACAGATTCCGGTACATAGCGAATTTCTGGCAAAATATCGGGATATACTACTAGACGTATAATTAAAATGAGAAAAAGGTACAGTATTGGGAGGATCAGAATACATATAGTCTGTATTTTTTGGTTCCATTGAAGAATCCAATTCTTCCACAGCAGCAGCTTTAGCTTGTCCCAGTCTCCAACGGTGTATACCTCAGTGTCAGAGAATGAATTTCTGTCTGGCTTCATTTTTAAAGTATTCGTATAATTAATATAATTTGGAAAATGTTTGAATTAAATTTCTATGAGTAGGGAAATGTTTTGTATTTACGACATGAAGGCAATCTAATGATGTAGGAAAACTTATTTTTAAAGAATTCTTTTTATGGCTACTTTCTTTTTACTTACTTTCCTTTTTAATATAAACTATTATTACCCATTTTCAATGGTTATCCCTGATCAATGAGTTTCCTGATTGTCCTGAAGAATCATGTTCAGTGTCTGCCGGCATCTGGCGGTGATAAATGTGCCCTTCTCGATCTTAAGCGTACTCATTAGCAATCCACTGCCATTCTCAACTCATTGCAGTTTACGCCACCTGCCATAACAGCACAACCAGCGGCAATTGGACTGCCTGCAGCCAAAGCTGCGGCCTTGGAACCGCTACGCGGCACACCACCACCCACGCTGGCTGCCATCAACTGAGCAATTTGCGGCTCTGCGAGAATCGCAGGTGCGACAAGGACGAGTACGAGGACAATAAGCGGAGCAGGAGCATACCGTTAACGCACAAGCGGAAGCAGCATCATGCCCACAGCCACTCCCATCAGCATTATCATCATCATAAGAAGGGGCACGAGGAGCCGGCCCACCGGATACGAGTGAGTATCCCCTTAATGACGAAACACTTTTGCCACTTTGGGGAAATACCCAACGAAACTGTCGGATCTGGGGTTTTAAAAAGTAAAATTAAAAACAATATATAGAGAAATCTTCTTAGCTTATTTTTTATAAGGTAGTAGTCAAACAATATATTTCCATTTAAGGATTCTCTACTTACACCCTTATTTATCTTACCATTTATTCTTGGGTTTTCCATTGTAGAAGGGCCACGAGTGTCGGAGCATCCAGCGACTGGGTCCTGCCAGGATTCGACTGGGCGAGTGCGTTTCCCGAAAGCTGTATCGACCGAAACTCTGTGGCCGTTGCCACCGCGGGGTCAAGTGCTGTGCCCCGGCGGTGTCCACCACGATACAGGTGAGTGGGAGATTCCATGGATGTATTTTCTGCACCTGCCAAGTGGCAACTGGGCTAATACGGGCTGAGCTAAAAGTCCGACCACCTGGCGCCTAAGGAGGAGAAATGAAAATCCCGCGGATTGAGTTTCCTTCTTTTCCTCTTCCCCATTCCCATTTTTCTCCTTTTGCAGTTTGCAGAAATTTGCATTACGCAGCTTCCTCGCCTGTTGTTTGCTATTTGTCCTTTTCAATTAAATTACCGTTAATTAGAAAGCAATCCCATCCACATCCATTAAAAGACGTTGTCTTTAAAATAGTTAGGTAAAAAAATGTATACCCTGGAAAGAGACTGCTATAATTTTTATTTTTAAATAGATTTTTAAAATAAAATTGGAAATGTATATAAGGCCACTTCGATGGTAGTTAACTTTGTTAAATCATTTAAAAAAACACATTAAAAAAGGAGAAATTAAATAAATCAGAGTACCTTCACATCGTATGTGTTTAATGTAAAAAAATATTTTTACCATTTAATCTGATTGCATAAGCAAAATCTTTCTGACATATATTATTCTTTCCTTATTATTTATTTACTCTGGGCTTTCTGTTGCGGCTGACCAGGATTTACCTTATTTATTTATGCACATTTCACGAATATCATGCACAATTATTCGATACCCTGTAATTCGATTGACAGGACTGTCGCTAATACCGTCAAGACTGCTTTGCAAAGCCGTTGTTGTTTTGTTTATTGGCTCTTGCCTTTTAGCTTCTTTTTACTTTTAATTAAAAATCAAATTGCATTAAAACGTCAATTTGGAGAGCTGCTACAGAGCCAATGCCAAATGGCAGCAAAATTAAAAGTCAAATGCTTCCCAGATGTCAAAATCAATGCAACACCTCTTAGCCCACTCACATTCTACTAAATGAATTTGTTCTAAGAAGCGTAAACCCTCTCGGGCGAGATTTCAGCTTCTTACAGCCATACTTTTTTCCTACAATGATTTCTCTTTTTTCCTTTTTATCCAATACATTTTTTTTGTCCTTCAGGTCGAGCTGCTGTGCCCCTTAAATGCTGTCGATCCAATTAACTACGTACAGCACCAAGAGATGGGCAGAAAAAGGCAGCACAACGAGGTTGACGATGAGGAGGATGAGGATGTGAACCATGAGGCGGTGGTGGAAAATGCACAGTTATGGGATACGGTCGCCTTGGAGCCAATCGATCAGGAATTCCTGCAATCGCATCAGATACAAATCGAGAATAAATTCATTGCCGTCGAATGGATACTGAAATGTGAATGCAGCACGAAGGTGAGTGAGAATGCCAGAAGGACTTGGGGCTTTGAATTCTTGTCTTGCCTTCGGTGTTCCATGTGACAACAGGCCCATAAGCGATGTCATATTACACTGGACAACCGTATTCGCATTCCCCATTTGAGGCAATCATTCGGTTGTGTCTTTGGCTCGACAATCATTTTTCCCCTCCAGGATTTTCCCTTCGTACTTGCTGTACCAGATGCACGAAAATTGCTTTCACTTGTCATTTTAATCGCATCTTTTGTTGTTGCGAACATTCTTGCTGTAGGAAATACCCATTAGTTTGCAGGTATGATGAATATTGAGGGTGGGATATGCTCTTTCTTCAGCTTAAGTGTTAGAATATTATTTATTGATCTTGCCAGCTAAGAATATACTTTAAATAGCGAGTCTTACAAGTAATTTTTTAATATCAATAAATATTAAAATAAACTAATCAAAAAAAAAATGCATATTCTATCACTTATCAGACTTCTTTAGGTATATTTTCTCAATGGGTAAAAGCTTGCCTAACCCTGTTAATCGTATTTATTCAACTCTGGTTATATTCCCAGTCTATGCACAAATGTGTTTTTGTTTTCCGAAAAAAAAATTATTACTGCAATTTTTTTGTTGACTGCTTGGTTGCGAGGGGATTTTCCTCGAACCGTACCCAGCGGATAAATGGGCCAAAAACGGGCGGTGGTCGAAGGAATGGGTTTTTCCTGCGCCCAGCTGTCTGTTGTGTTTTCCCATTATTTTGGCGAATTCATCTTGAATGCCTTTGCCTTCGCTGCCCGTATGCGCTGTGCAATTGCAATGATTGGATTTTTATGAATACATTCATCAAAGGAACTCGCTCACTGCGTCACTGGCAAACCGAACGAAAACATTTTGTTGCATACATTCGGGCGGCAAGTTTAAAACGCTATGTGGGGGCGTGCGTGCGATTCTTTGTGTGCCTAAAGTGAGGCTTTTGTTTTGTTTTCCTTTGTAAGTTTTGAATGGGTTTTTTTGTTTGAAAGTAGTTAACTGCAACGATAGTCGATTGTCGAAGGATTGTAATGCGGTCATAGAAATTTAGTACGCTGAATCGGCTTGTGGCAAAGCTAGAAGGTATCCTCTTGCTTTCCACAATTATAAAGTTTCTGTGTATAAGAGATAAAGATAATCTTATTAGATTTTTTAGATTTTTGCCTTTTTCGTAAAATGTGTTTGGCATAGGGAACTCAGTGCTCCTAATAACTCTTATCAAGGATTTATATACATAAAATTGTAAAGTATTAATATTGTGAACTTGTTGATATCACTATTCTTCACTATTTTGGTCATTCAAGGTGAGTTCCGCACTTTCTCTTTATCTCTCAAATAGTTTTTTATGTTTAATACAATCAAATATGTTAATTTATTTAAAGACTGAGTTTAAAAGTGTTTTTTTCGGTAACCTCTATTTAAATATGAAATGTTGAAAAATTTTCCATTTTTAAATAAATGCTTTTCGCTTTGTTTTGGCTAAACATATTTCTTATATTAATTTAAAAAATGTTTGTTTATTTTATTACCTGAATTTTTAGATTTAAAAATTAATTTGTTCTCAAAATACAACTTAAGAGAAATAGAGAGAGAGAGTGCTTAAATCTATAGCGTCTTCTTTTTCGAGTGAACCGAATTTTTTAAGAGAGCCGACACTCTCTTAACTTTCTTAGCAAAATAAAATACAATGTTGTTACTGCATTGTATTTGTCAATTGCTTTATTCTCGCTTTAATTGCATTGACATAACACCAATTCGCCAGAGCAACAATGAAGGCCGTCTTATCAGTGGTTTCGGTCTTATCGCATAGAGCCATAAACGTTCAGAGATTATGAAAGAGAGGGAAAGAACTAGAAAACAACACAGAGAGAGAGCGAGTGAAAGTATAGAAAAACGCTTTAGTCGCCGGTCGAATGTTCAACGTGAAACACGTGCGGTTGTTATAAGAAAGATCTATATCTATATTAAGCACTATGAGTTCCGCGTCTCTACGTCTGCTTAGTAAAACTAAACAAACTGCTCGGATTGTAATCGTGGGAGCGGGTTCCGCCGGAATAGCAGCTGCTACCCGTCTCCTGGATCTGGGCTTCCGAAATGTTCTTCTCCTCGAAGCCGAACATCGTATAGGCGGACGTGTCCACACGATTCCCTTTGCCGACAATGTCGTTGATCTCGGCGCCCAGTGGTGCCATGGCGAACAGGGCAATGTGGTATACGAGAGGGTCAAGGAGCTGGATCTTCTGGAGGTTACGGAGCGCCACTATGAAACCTACAAGTGTGTGCGATCTAACAAAGAAGTTTTACCAGAAGGTATAGCAAATCAACTGAAAGATATTGCAGAAAATTCTATACCAGACAGGCAAACAGAGCTAATGGACTTTGAGGGTTCCCTGGGTGATTATATCAACAAGAAGTACTGGATGGAGCTCGCCAAACTGCCGCCCATTGATCGCACCATTGCCGAAGAGTTCCTGGAGGTGTTCCAAAAATTCGAATCATCTGTGGAGGCGTCAGATCATCTCTTTGAAGTTTCAGGAAAAGGTCACCTGGAGTATTGGCTATGCGAGGGAGAACTATTACTCAATTGGAAAGATAAGGGCTACAAGAGATTCTTGAGATTGCTTATGAAAGCTCGGGAGGATAAACCCGATGATCTTGGTGTCCTCAAGGGTCATGTGCTACTCAACAAACGAATCGCCGAGATCAATTGGGAAGGAGCCGATGAGCTGACCTTGCGCTGTTGGAATGGTGAGGTTATCACCGCAGATCATGTGATATGTACGGTTTCACTGGGAGTTCTCAAAGAGCAGCATCCAAAGCTCTTTGTTCCCGCCCTGCCAGCTGCAAAAGTGAGAGCCATTGAGGGTCTCAAACTGGGCACAGTCGATAAATTCTTCCTGGAGTTCGATAATCAACCTCTCCCAAGTGACTGGCCTGGGTTTAACTGCCTTTGGCTAAGGAAGGATCTGGAGGAGCTGCGAGCCTCCGAACTATTTTGGCTGGAGAGTGTGTTCGGTTTTTATCCAGTCTCCAGGCAACCACGCATCCTGCAGGGCTGGATCATTGGGCCACATGCCCGACACATGGAAACGCTCACCGAGGAAAAGGTGCTTGAGGGTCTACTGTGGCTATTCCGTAAGTTCCTGCCCTTCTCGATAGCCCATCCAGTGCGAATGCTGCGCACCCAGTGGCATGCGAATCCCAACTTCCGTGGCAGCTACACCTTCCGTTCCACCTACACCGATGCGTTAAGGACCGGTGCCTGGGATCTGGAGGCACCGCTCCAGGATGTTGGCGGCAGGCCACGCCTTCAATTTGCTGGCGAATCATCCCACAGGCACTTCTACTCTACGGTCCATGGAGCCGTAGAAACCGGATGGCGCGAGGCGGAACGATTGCACCTCTACTACCGGTCGCGAACAGCTCAGCTATGAGCTCACACCTTAGGAGACCGGGTGAATATTTTCCAGAACCGTGAAATCGAGATTGGCCACAGGCAATTGGCCATAAAAACATAAGAAATATATCTTTCATTTCCATTTTAAGTGTCCCATCAGTATCTCTTACACATTTTTAAGAGTCAACAACTAGAAATAAAAGAAACTTAAGCAACAATTTTAATAGTTTAAATATTACTTATTTGGATTTGGATGTGTATTCGGTGTATTCGTGGTATACAATCTGTAATCAACACTTGGTAACCATTTTATAACTGCAAATAAACGCTTAATTTTTGTCCAGATTAGATACTAGTTTTATATCTTTCTTTACACAACAGCTTCTGGTGCTAACGACAATTATTGAATATTTAATACCATTCTTTAGATTTTAATTGAGCTTTTTGCCCTGAAACTCAACGACTCGACTGAACTTTAAAACTGATGCAATGCAAGCTGCTCTTCATGCTTGAAAATCAATTTACTGCCTTTCCACAGTTCATTTATATTTTATGGCCAATTTCGATGTCTTTCGATGTTCGATGCCCAGACACGTTATTAGGTTTTCCCATAAGTTCGTTTGTATCTTTGCCGCGTCGTAAAAACTTGTTAGCTGGGGATCGAATCTTTAAATTTCAAGCCCTGCAGTTGCTAACAAAATTCAAACGCATTCCTAAAAAAAAACCCAAATAAAAGCCAAACATGTTGACCAACTCATTTGCAGCGAGCAGCAAACAACATTGTAATTGCGCCTGTTTTTCGGAACATTTGCAAACACTCGATGCAAAATAGTAGGCGTGGGCGGTGGGTAGAACGAGGCGACGGGGGCATGGCCAGTGAGGTCTCACACATGCAAAAGTTCAGATTACGTGCGGAATACGGAAAACTGAAATCAGTTTAGCACATACCAGTAGTTTGTGCAGCAAAAAACGCAGCCCAAAGGCCAACCAGACCAGGCCAGGCTATGGATGGCCACAAAAACCACAACAGGCCAACAGGAGTTAGGAGTCAGGAGCAGAAGGAGGAGCAGGAACGAAATAGGGAGCAGGATCAGAGGCACTGGCCATGTGATTTCACTGCCGAAATGCCCCAGCAATTGCCGCCCGGCAAAAGCAGCAGAAGCAGAAGCACTTTGGTCGCCCATGTTGAAAATTCAAATTTATGCCAAGCCGGGGCCAAAACATTCAAAATATCCTTGCTTCTGCTTTATCCCTCTGTGACCCACCATTCCAGCCCCATTGGACAGTGAAAAAAAACTCCTTTAAATTACCTTTTCGATTCGTAAATTTTATCTTGAAATAAAAGAATTAAATTAAAGAATCGATTAATTTACTTTCAGTTAGATAAATCAGTTTAAAAGATTACTATTTTAAATTAATGCAAAACTTGTTTAAAATTACAAAAATATTTGGTTACAACACAAGGCTGTCCAAAATAGAAATCTTTTAGCTGATTTATATACAGCAATTTAGGTTTAAAAATGTAAATTTAAAGCTGCATATAGTTCCATTTTTTAAAGTATTTCAACTCTCTTCAGTTTTCTTCCTATGTATGCTCCGTCTGGCTTTGTGTGTTTGCATTTGTTTGTTTGTTTGCATGTCGCCCTAGTGGTCGTACTCGTAGTCGTATCCTGGTCGTAGTTCATCGCCCCTTCCCCAGCTCGCCACCTCCCAATTACATATGCGACTTTGTCGCCCTTCGAGTCGAAAGAAGGAAAGCCCGAGTACAAGTTGGCCACATCTGTTGTAGCTTTTCCGCTGAACCTGCCCCTTTCCGTGTTTCAATCGCAGTGCCGATCCCTTGGTTAATGCGCTGCAGGAGCGTCAGTCGTTCCGTTGCTTTTAGTGTCTAGCCAGCCGGATATGTGTTTTTTTTCTCGTACCTATACACTTGGCGGAAAACTGTTTCATAAATAAATGTTATTCCGTTCAACTCTACTTAAAAGTGAAAAGTAAAACAAATTGAATAAGGCTTTCTTATCGAAATCATCTTTGATATTTTCTTAGAAGATCTGAATTTAGTATGAAGAACCAGGTGGAAGATTCGGAAAACAAATTTCAGACTTTTTGCCCAGTGCCTCCATGTTCATCCACGTGCTCGTGACTCCTCGAGTGACAATGTTAAACAAGTCTCTGTTTGACCAAAGGACACACATTTGACTAGCTGGCAGAGCAGTCGTCCTGTTCCTGTTTCTGTTACTGTTCCTTGCCGGACTTGTGTTATGGCCCAGGTAATGGCTGTTATGACTGGCAAAGTATTTCTCTGTGTTTGCTGATTGCAGTGGCGACATGGAATGGGCAAGTGGGTGGACATCGAGATGGGGATAGTGAGTGGCTGACAGTTGGAGTCGGCACACTTGACATAGCTGGTAGTGGAACATTCGGCTTAATTGTACAACTAACTCACTTGCGCCGGGATTAAATGGCTTTAGCTAGGAATCCTTTATGCAGAGGCACGGTGATGGCACACCCTTGCATTGGGTAGATTAAACTCCTTGAATTTATAGTTATATTCGAGTTTTTTATTTACCTAGCTTTTTTAATTGGGTGCTGAAAATGTTAGACACAAAGGTGTCAGAGATTACATACCACTGTAAATTTGATAAACTGAAAGTTTTATAAGATACTGATGAGTTCTGAGTGGAATAATCAAAATGCAGAAACGCTGGGAACTAACTTTTTTACACAATTTCATTGGTTTTAGGAATTTATTTGTTTCAAAATTTAAATAAAAAGGGTAAAGATATTTAAAAATGTGTTTGTTTGTTTTGAAAATTTAGGATTCTAGAATTCAATTCCAATTGTAATGCTTCTCTATGTAATGATTACGAATTTGAAAATCGATAACCAAAAGAAGTTTCAAAGTTCCACCGCCTTAGTTTTCAGCTCGTCCTTTGTAGAATTCGTTCAGACGATCAGCCTCGCGCCATCCCGACTCAGTGGCTCCATGAACTGTGGAGAAGTGATTCCTACTCGAAGCTTCTCCGGCGAACTGGATCCTGGGTCTTCCCGAAACATGCACCAATGGTGAACCCAAATCTGTGCGTCCTGTGCGAAGTTCATCTGCGTAGGTCGGATAGAAACTATAGCTGCCACTGAAGTTCGGATTGGAGTGCCACTGAGAGCGCAAGAAGTTTTTGGGATGGGGTATGGTGAACTTTAGAAACTTCCTGAATAGCCATAGAAGACCCTCGAGTACCTTCTCCTCACTAAGGGTTTCCATGTACCGGGCATGGGCACCGATGATCCAACCCTCTAGCAAAAGTGGTTGACGATCCACACGATGGAAGTTACAAACGCTCTCCAGCCAGAAGAATTGGCTGCCCCGCAGCTCCTTAAGATCTTCCTCCAGCCAAAGGAATGCTACGCCCCTGATGTTCTCAGGCATAGGCTGCTCCTCAAACTCCAAAAGGAATTTATTCACAGTGCCCAGCTTAAGACCCTCAATAGATCTAACCTTGGCAGCTGGAAGATCTGGGACAAAAAGCTGCTTATGCTTCTCCTTAAGAACTCCCAGGGAAACTGTACAAATGACGTGATCGGCCGAGACTATCTGGCCATTCCAGCAGCGAAGGGTTACTTCACCGTCTCCTGACCAATTGACTTCAGCAATTCGTCTATTGAGGTGCACGTGACCTTTTAGGATTCCCTGGTCACCTGGTTGATCCTCGTTAGCATTAAGGAGGAGACTTAAGAACTTCCAGTAGCCCTTTTTCCGCCAGCTGAGATCACCACCGGTAACAGCAAAGTTCACAAAATTCCTTGGTGAAAGCTCGGACATATGATCGCAGGCATCCTCGCTGCAAATGAGCCTCTTCAAGCAGTCCAGAGCCTCTTTGGCAACGGCTTTATCCAATTGCTGACCAACATCTTTCCAGAAGCTATCGGTAAAGGCATCACCTACAGATCCCTCAAAATCGGATTTTACCTCGAATTCGTCCTTAAATTCCATAAGAGCCTTGTATTGATCACTAGTAAGGATGTCCTTGTTAGAACGCGCAAAGTAACCGGCAAAATCTCCAGTCCTATCAAGGACATCCAAATCCTTAACCCTCTCGTATACGACATTACCCTCTTCCCCATGACACCATTGAGCTCCCAGATCGATGAAGCTATTTGCAAAAGGGATTGTGTTTATGCGACCTCCAATTCGATCCTCCGCCTCGAAGAGCTGGACATTCTTAAATCCTTGTTCTAAAAGTCTAGTGGCAGCAGCAATTCCTGAGACTCCGGCTCCAATGATCACAATCCTGGTGGTCTCCTTGGTTTTTCCAAAAGCAATTGGTTCTGCAGTACAGGCACTCATGATTTTTGGATAGCTTGATTTACTTTCTGAATTAAAAAAATGCAAATTGTGATTTAAAGCCTGAAAGTGCAGCCTTTTATAGGTGTATCATATCAAATTATTCCCAAGCTTCTTGCGGTTCCTTTTATCAGCCTTGAATTGACCCAACTTGTCTTTAGTTAAAGTTCTTTGTTCTTGGTTACATAAGGTTTTTAATTGTAATTTCTTTTGTAAACTAAAAAGCAAAAAGGCTGCTTATATCAAAAGACAGTTTATCATTTCTTGTAATTTCTGTTTTTGTTTGTATAATTTTTGCACTACCTACAAACGGTTCAAGTGCAATTTGTGGTGATTGGACTATCTTATCTACCACACATTCACAAACCACTTGACTAAATTGAACAAAACAAATAATCTATAAACTAAAGAGATATTATTAATACTGTGAAAACATCTATAAATATGTTTATTTTCTTTCGTGTCAAAAGTAAAAATTATTTTAAATTGCATTTTGTATTTTTTGATTGCTTTAAGGAACCAAAAACATTTAAATAAGGAAGAGTTCCATTTTTATTAAGACTTCATAAAAAAGGATCACTTCTGCATACCAAAATTCTGCATTCTCATGAAAAATTTTCAATTACCAAGGGAAAAGAATTTAATTAGGCATTCGTAAAACAAAATATTTTTATTGCAAAAATTTATATTAAAATTGCATACGCCTATTACTCATTTCATTTTTGCATTTTTTTTTTTGCCCACAGAATTGCAACGCCGACAGCAGCAGCAGCAACTTCACTAGCAACACCAACGACAATATGTCTAACACAAATAAATATGGTTATTACAATAGCAAAAACCATAACCAAGGCCGGAACCACGAAATTAATGGCGAACCAAATGAGCCAACCGACAACAATATTGGCAACAACAAGGACAACGAAGAGGATGTGGCTGACAACAGCAACAACATTGACCACAACGATGTGGACACCATGTCCTCGGAACAACAGCCGGATATTATACCCTATCCGCTGAGCGTGGGCGAATCCAGTTGGAAGGCCGAAAAACTACGACAGCAGCAAAATCAACAGCACTGGCAGCAACTCACATAGCGTAAAGTATTCCCACGCAAGTCATAAAATAAAACCGGATCGGCCGAGGGCAGAGATATATGTAGAAGGGAGTAGAGTCTAAGATTTGTACAGCATAGCGATACTTAAGGCCCCAAGGATGGTTAGGATTGTAAAGGAAAATTGGAAAGGCGATGCATGTTATACTTAGGATTTGAACATATCGAGGCAGTAAGTTAAGGTATGTGAACGATAGGGTTAGTACTAAACCAAGGGCAAACAACAAACAGGCCGAATATAACAAAATATTTTTGCAAGCATCTATATACAAAAAAAGAAAAACAAACGCGACAAAGAACAAAGAAAGGGAAAAGGAAAATTTTCAGAAAATCATTTGAATGGAATGCTGCCCAATAATAACGTATATGGTAATAATAATTTTAAAGAAATAGAAGTAAAAAGGCTTGAACAATGGAAGAAAACCAATGAGCAAATGCTAAATTCGTGTGCATTCAAGTTATAACTGTGCTACATACTCACTTGTATTCAGATCTACACGTAAGCCTAAGACTCTGCTTGAACAAAGAATTTAGCTGGATGTAAATGGAGAAAGCCCGGGGTTTCCTGGTCGTAGTTTACGTTATGCCCTCCTCCAACCACACATATCCCCCGAAAATATCCCGAAACGAGTTCTCTGATTTAGGTCATGTGACTAGCGAAGCTTAGCCATCACCCATATCAATTGTATCGATGTAAGTCAACTCTTAGCTAGCGTCAGAGTTATCCGTGTGCAGGCGAAATTCAAATAAATTAAATGCGAAAATATAAAACCACCATGTGTTATATTCATTTTTTAAGGATGTTCCTAACAAGACTTCTGCTCCACCACATCGTCGATCCATTTGTCCCACATATTCTGCCACTTTTCGAAACCCACTTTCTTTTCCTCACCAACAAGGGCACTGTACTGGATGGAATTGATGGCCAGGCATTTGAGGAACCTCAGGTCCGCGTCCATCGGTGCAATGCCCAGAAATGCGAAGTAGAAATCATGGGACAGTGGGGCACAGCGCCAGAAAGATGGATCGTCTGAAGATATAACAATGGGAACATTGGCGGCCAAAAGGAGTGCCGCCGGGTGGTTGCGATAGTCTACTCCCAGTTGAAGCACTTGATTAGACACGGGGCACACTTCGATGGGGATATCTAATAGTCTGGCCAGTCGCATTATCAGCGGGTGCTTGGTAAGTGCATATCCATGTCCGATTCGCTTGGAGCCCATCAAGATGGCGTCTACTAGGTTCTCATCAATGGCCGATCCAAACCAGTTTGTCTCGCCAGCGTGAAAATAGAAATTTATGTGCTCGGGCATTTTCAGCAAAGGTTCCACAAAATCTATCAGCGGTCGACCCAGCTCCTCCTGACCAACCAGGTCGAAGCCCACCATGAAGTTCGGAAATTCGTTCTGGTGGGATAGGGGAATTTAGGTTAATAAACTGATGAGTAAAGTAAGATACTTACATTCAGTTCCACAGCTGTCTTTACATATTGCTCGACCACACTTGGCTCCACTCCTCGTAGAGGGGCATATATAAGCTTGGAGTCAATGAAATTCGGATGGTCAGCCTTGAAGCGTTCCAGCTCCGCCTTATAGATTGCCACCGTGTCCATAGTGGTCAGCATAGTACCATCGATGCAGTAGAGCGGAGGAAGAAGGGATCGCAGCTCTAAGTATTGGACACCATCCTCGGAAAACTCTTTGAGGGCATTGTAATAATATTCCGCCCAAATGGGGGCGTGACAGAGCAAACCATCCAGCAGAATAAATATACCCATAAAATGCGCCCAGGCTTGATTATTCGAGACAAACTTGGAGAAAGGATACATGCTGAAGCGGCGCTTGAGGTATTTGGTGACATTATCTTCACCTCGCCGGTTTCGGAACTCCTCCATTGGTTCCCAATTACATTCCTCCATTGGTTTCTGGGTGGGTTTCTGCTTGGAAAATCGAAAACCAATGGCCTTGCATCCCTCATTCGCTGTACAAATCCAAAGATTCTCACGGTAGGTCAAACTAATAAGATACTCCGTACTGCAGAGTGCCGTATCGTGAGCATGGAGCACTCCGCCCTTGGGCATCCGCTTGATCAGATTAAAGATCTGCGATTTACGGATCTCGGTCAGGGTCTTAAAAATGTGTTGACCTGGCGTAAACTGGCTTGGGTCCAATATGCCCTTGGATATCTCCTCTTTTTTGACGGCCATGATAACCTTGTTGGCTTCCTGCTCCCGCTCATTCAGCCTTATCTTCTGACCCAATATGCCCAAATGCTCCACCTTGGCAATTACCCGGCGAAGAGTCTTGAATGCCGTGGGTGAGAGTTTCCTCAGAGACCGCGCCACCGAGACCGAGGAATGCCCAACTTTGGCGCATTTGGTGGATGCCCGTCGTACGGTGATGGCCAATTCTCTGATGGCCGTCATATTTATTTAAATTCCTTTGGCTCACCAGCCCTTTTGGCCAAGGATTTCTCATGGAGAATTTGGTTGGGATTTCGTTAGCCGAACATGTGATTTACACAATTAATTTACCCTGCGAAATGTGTCACGCCGAATGTGTCAATAGGCCGCACATTTGTTAGCGCTTTGCCATTTTCCCATCTCACTCAAGCCCCACGCACAAATTTTATGGTCGCATAGATGTTGGCAAGACCAAACTTGACTGCATCCGCGCCCGCCGGTAGCCCATAAAACTTCGCCAACTCATTACGAGCGTCAGCCAAATCAAAATCGAACCCTGAGCTGGCAGCCGCAGCACTAAACAGTGGCACGTAAAATTGATACATTCGGAGTATTCGGTTGCCTCGATCCGCAGCTCAAAGTAGGCTGGGTGATGGGTGGTTATGGGTTGGCGTGGTTGGTGCCTCAACGACTATATATAGCGCATATTCATTAATAATCGCATCCACTTTTCTGCGTACTCAACGCAACCAAAGGCAATGAGAGATTTATGCGGACGAATCCTCGAGTGCACTTCTCCGATGGGGATGGCATCGTGACTGCCATTTGTAGATTATGGGTTGGTAAAGCTGAATTATTGGTATCCATGGGAAGTTTGATAGAAAAAGGACTGATCTTTATGCTTTGTAACTATACTAATAAAACTCGAATTACTACGTAGATTTTAAAAAGAAACTTTGTTGTAAATGTTATACATTAATATATATTATATATTAATGCATATTATTACTGCGTAAAAGGTGGAACTGGTATTATTATGTTTTTGATTCATTTTAGTTCTTATATTTAAAAATCGCGGGTTTCAAGAAAAACATTTGAGGTGTAAACTTTGTTTTAAACTGGCAAAGTATGCTTAGGACCATTCCCTATTTAAGGTAATTTGTGACGAGATTTGTTCATTAGGTGCAGATCATTATAGTTCACAATATAGTAGATCACAATAGTTCTTATTAGGAAAATGTCTTAACTCACTCTCCCATCTCTGAGTGTTCTGAAATCGCTTGGCTAGCCAACTCATTACGATTACGTTCAGGGTTTTTGAGCTTTGAACATAAATTGCATGCACTCTTATTTCGGCTACGACTAAAACGGGTTCTTTATTGCTTTCGTTTTCTTTGGCGCAGGAGAATAGTTCAGCCTTTAATAGTGGCACAGAATCTCATTGGTTTAGAAAAAGGGTTTAGCCTAGGTCTACCTAAGGACTAGTCCATAACAATTAGCTTACAACAATGGTTACATATTGACGATGTGATTATGAATATAGTTCTGACTGGATGAGAATGAGGCTGCAATGTTATGAAGCCGCTGCAGCCGTGTGTAAAGTTGGAGTGGAGTGGTAGATGCAGCAGGTGAGGTGGCTTTTTCCGACTAGCGCTAAAGGTTAGAGGCCATCAGGGATAACGTAACCAGCAGCACTGACACCACCCGTGCTAGTCAATCGAGATGTTGACTTGGAGATCCCCGGTTGGATTCATTCTCGTTGACATCTGCAATGAACTGGTCCCATTTCGCCTGCCACTTCTCCAGTGCATCGAATTGGGCTTCTGCTGACAGCGAACTATATTGGATGGAGTTCAGGGCCAGCTTCTTCAGGAGTCGCAAATCCGAGTGTTGCGAGGCTATTCCCAGAAAAGCGATATAGAAATCGTGCGAGAGGGGCGTGGCCTTCCAGAAGGAGGGATCATCCGAGGAAATAACCACCGGATAGCCATCGGCTATGAAGTGGGAGCACGGGTGGTTCCGGAAGTCCGTGACCAACTGAAGCACCTGATTCGAAATGGGGCTGACCTCAATGGCCACATTCAGTTTCTTCAGCATGTCCAGCACGACGGGATGTTTGACTAGACCAAATCCATGGCCAATACGCTTAGTTCCTAGCAAAATAGCATCAATCAGATTCTCGTCCACAGATGAACCGAACCAGTTTGTCTCTCCAGCGTGGAAATAAAAGTCAATATCCTCAGGTATCGTCAACAGTTCATCGATAAAGTCCCTTAAGGGACGTCCCAACTCCTCCTGGCCAACCAAATCAAAACCAGCCACAAAGTCCGGGTATTTTTCCTGTCGATACAGTCGTATGTTAGGATCACACTTTAAAGGTATTTTAATATAAAACTTACCTTAATCTCTTTCAAAGTGTTAATATAGGAAGTTAGTCCCTCTGTATTGGTGTTACGGATGGGAGCGTAGATCATGCGGGAACCGATAAAATCGGGATGATCCTCTTTGAACTTTTCCAGGGTCTCCACATAGATGCGCACAGTATCCATTGCAGTGAATTCCGTGCCATTTAGGTCGTAAAGCTGGAAACAAAATATGTATTAGGTGAACCAATCGGTAAAAAAAATATAAAATATTGTTACTAAATATATAAATGTAGTTTTTTATTTAAGCTATATGTAAGTAAATTTGATTAGAAGTTAAATAATCGTTTTTAATATGGCAAGCAATAAAATGCGTTAAGAAGTTTTACAGATTATTTTAATCAGTTTATCAAGACTAAATCTATTAGTTACTGGTAACAAAATGTTTGATTAGAAAATATTTTGATTAAAGAATTTATATTTATGTCACATCAAAACGAATATAATAAGAGTCAAGTGCTCCTAAAACCTAATTTAATATTCATATTAGCTAACTTACCGTGGGAACAAGGGAACGGAATTCCAGGTACAGCACTCCATCCTCGTAGAACTCCTTAAGGGCAGTATAGTAGTAGTCCGCCCAGACGGGGGCATACATCACGAGACCGTCGAGTAGCGCGAAAATATTCATAAACGTGGACCACGCAGCGTTGTTGTCCTCGAACTTTGTGGTGGGATACAGGGTGAGTCTTTCGGCCAGATACTCATCCACCCTTTTAGATCCGTACTTCGCTCGCACCTCGGACAACAGACTCCAATCGCAATCGTTCAGTGCCTGTGGTTTCTGCTTGGAAAACCTCAAGGCAGAGGCGCTCAGATCCCCATCCTTTTGGCAGGACCAGAGATTATCGTAGTAAGTGAGATTAATGATGGCCGCGGTGCTGCAAAGAGCAGTATCGTGGGCATGAAGCACAGCACCCTTGGGCATTTTCTTCAATAGCTGAAAGAGGTCAGTATCCCGGATGTCATCCAATACCTCGAAAATGTGGTGAGCGGGCTTGAAGAGGTGCGGTGTAATCAAACCCTCTTCGAACTCCTTTATCTTAGCCTTCATAATGGTTTCGTTTGCTTTGATTTCGCGTTCTGTAAGCTCGAGATCATAGCCCAAGGATTTGGATTCTTCGTATCGAGAGAAGGCATTTCTCAGTGTCTTATAGGTATCCGGAGTGGGACGTCCGGGACCCAGTAGGGCCTCCACATGGCTTGTACTACTGTAGAGCGTCACCAGCTTTCTATCAACCAGGTTCTTCTGCCGAGTGCGTGATTCCACCGGACCCGGTGCAAAACATAGACAGACGCACAGGCCAATAGCGAGCAAGGCGATAAGATTACGACGGATGACGGGCAACATGATGAGCGTTGGATTCCGTTAGGATCCGATCACGACTAGGTCCACTCTGCGACTGACGTCTACGGCAATTGAGGAGCTCCGATTTTAGTTTCGATGTCGCTCCCTATCTGAAACGATTGGTGATTCGACATTATCTTTGATTTAACACGCGTTCGAATGGATCTCGAGGCGATAATTGCGCGTGCGGGTTGGCAACTCGCACCCCTCATTCGCTGTACAAATCCAAAGATTCTCACGGTAGGTCAAACTAATAAGATACTCCGTACTGCAGAGTGCCGTATCGTGAGCATGGAGCACTCCGCCCTTGGGCATCCGCTTAATCAGATTAAAGATCTGCGATTTACGGATCTCGGTCAGGGTCTTAAAAATGTGTTGACCTGGCGTAAACTGGCTTGGGTCCAATATGCCCTTGGATATCTCCTCTTTTTTGACGGCCATGATAACCTTGTTGGATTCCTGCTCCCGCTCATTCAGCCTTATCTTCTGACCCAATATGTCCAAATGCTCCACCTTGGCAATTACCCGGCGAAGAGTCTTGAATGCCGTGGGTGAGAGTTTCCTCAGAGACCGCGCCACCGAGACCGAGGAATGCCCAACTTTGGCGCATTTGGTGGATGCCCGTCGTACGGTGATGGCGAATTCTCTGATGGCCGTCATATTTATTTAAATTCCTTTGGCTCACCAGCCCTTTTGGCCAAGGATTTCTCATGGAGAATTTGGTTGGGATTTCGTTAGCCGAACATGTGATTTACACAATTTATTTACCCTGCGAAATGTGTCACGCCGAATGTGTCAATAGGCCGCACATTTGTTAGCGCTTTGCCATTTTCCCATCTCACTCAAGCCCCACGCACAAAATGGCGCCCAACGCATTTCCGCTTTAACACACTAAAGCCGCGACCCCGTCAACTACACACACATGTGGCTTTTATTAGTAATTTATGGGCTCGTTGGATGGCGGACTGGGTTTGGTCTCCGGTTTTTTATGCATCCGCGCGCCCTCAACACCACATTAAATGTGCACGACATCAAATTGATGAGGCTTCCACGGCCAGCGGCAGATATAGGAAAGGTGCTGACGGATTATCTTTTTTAGATATTCTAGCTTTTTGCCCTTCAGTTTTAAAAGTTTGGGAAAAATACCATTATTAAACTATAAATATTCAGAAAGTCACCGTTAAGCTCAGTATTCCAACTGTCAAAATTATACTTAAATAAACTTTTTTAACGTTTTATGGGATAAGGATTCAGGTATGTTTTTGTGTTCTTTTACCTGTTTCACTTATTTTAAAAAAATTTTAATTATAAAATACTTTTTGAATACTTATTTATTCACCTGTTTTTTAAAATTTCCGAGCTAAAAGCAATTCATGGATTTGAAAGAACTGGCTGCACTGAATTCCTTATCCCACACACTCTTACGTTGGCCCATCAATTTTATGTTCGCATAGATGTTGGCAGGACCAAACCTGACTGCATCCGCGGCCGCCGGTAGCCCATAAAACTTCGCCAACTCATTACGAGGGTCAGCCAAATCAAAATCGAACCCTGAGCTGGCAGCCGCAGCACTAAACAGTGGCACGTAAAATTGATACATTCGGAGCTTTCGGTTGGCTCGATCCGCAGCTCAAAGGAGGCTGGATGATGGGTGGTTATGGGTTGGCGTGGTTGGTGCCTCAGGGGCTATATATAGCGCATATTCATTAAAAATCGCATCCACTTTTCTGCGTACTCAACGCAGCCAAAGGCAATGAGAGATTTATGCGGACGAATCCTCGAGTGCACTTCTCCGATGGGGATGACATCGTGACTGTCGTTTTAGATTTTGGGTTGATATAAAGGTAAATTATTAGTATCCATGGGAGAGCGGTTAAGTGGACTGCGGTTTGCTTGATCCTTTTGCTTAATAACTATTCTAATACGAGTTACTGTTTTAAGATAAGTGGTTGTAAAATATGTACGATGTAAGTGCAAATTGTTAAAGTGTAAAACCCGAAACTGATAGTGTTCACATTTAATTTAATTTTCGTTGTTATAATAATAAAAAATGAAGGTGTCAAGCATGAAATTGTTTGTTTCCAACTTCTTCAAAATCACCTTAGATGTGGTCGTCTTTTACAACATCATTTTGAAAGATTTTGTATTGTTAAATTATTAATAGAATTTCATATTTAAGGCAAGTATATGCTAATATGTAAATCGATTCGGTTATTGTGTAGAGAAAATTTCTTAATAACTTTCTTACATCACGATTCCATCTCTGAGTGTTTTGAAATCGCTTGGCTGGCCAACTCATTACGATTACGTTCAGGCTTCTTTAAGCTTTGAACATAAATTGCATGCACTCTTATTTCGGCTACGACTAAAACGGGGTATTTATTGGTTTAGATTTCTTTGGCGGAGGAGAATATTTCAGCCTTTAACCGTTTCTGGGGATGGCACAGCTTCTGGTGGGGTGGGTATTTCTGACTAGCGCCAAAGATTAAGGGTCATCAGGGATAATGTGACCAGTAGCGCTGCCACCACCCGTGCTAGTCAATCGAGATGTTGACTGGGGGAACCCTGGTTGGAGGCCTGTTCGTTGACATCGGCGATGAACTGATCCCACTGCCCTTGCCACCTCTCCACTGCCTCGAATTGGGCTTCTCCCGTCAGAGAACTGTATTGGATGGAGTTTAGGGCCAACTTCTTCAGGAGACGCAAATCCGAGTGTCGCGAGGCGATTCCCAGAAAAGCAATGTAGAAATCGTGTGACATTGGTGTGATCTTCCAGAAGGAGGGATCATCTGAGGAAATAACCACCGGGAAGCCTTCGGCAAAGAAATGGGCGCAAGGATGGTTGCGGAAGTCGGACACCAACTGAAGCACCTGATTCGAAATCGGATTGACTTCAATGGCAATATTCAGTTTCTTTATCATTTCCAGCACCACAGGATGTTTGACAAGTCCAAATCCGTGACCAATACGCTTAGTTCCTAACAAAACCGCATCGATCAAATTCTCGTCCACAGGTGCTCCGTACCAGTTTGTCTCTCCAGCGTGGAAATAAAAGTCAATATCGTCAGGTATCGTCAATAGATCATCGATAAAGTCTCTCAAGGGATGTCCCAACTCCTCCTGGGCAACCAAATCAAAACCAGCCACGAATTCGGGGTATTTTTCCTGTCGATGGAGTCGTGTGTAATGAACACTCTTTAAAGGTAATTTAATTCAAAACTCACATTCATCTCTTTCAGCGTTTTAATATACGTAGTTACTCCCTCGGCGTTGGTGTTACGTAAGGGACCGTAGATCAAGCGGGATCCAATAAAATCGGGATGAGCCGCTTTGAACCTCTCCAGGGTCTCCACATAGATGCGCACAGTATCTATAGCGGTGAATTCAGTACCATCAAGGTCGTAAAGCTGAAAATAAAACCCAGAACATTAATGACTTCTAAAACGTAGCTTAAAATTATTTTAAGTATTGAAGCGAAAACAATTAAATGCCTTAAAAAATTTTCATTATTAGTTAGTTCATCTAGACTTAGACAAAAATATTTACCTAAATGTGGATAAACAGTTTTGCGCCTTGTGGGGTTAAGATTGGAAGTAGCCGGTAAAAACAACTTTAAAATGCGTGGACATTTCCAATTTACGTACTCTTAATTCCATTTTTTTTTAAATCTATTTTTTATAGTCTACGTGTTAATACGGACGAACGGACAGGTGGAACGACATGCGTAAATTGAATCGGCTATATAGCTTTTAGAATGTATATAATTTATATACTCTTTTCACCTATATCTTACATAATTTTCAACTTATAAATACATAATTAAATTAAATATATTGTTTACACATATGAAAATTATTTACCGTGGGAACAATGCCGCGGAATTCCACATACAGCACTCCATCGTCGTAGAACTCCTGAAGGGCAGTATAGTAGTACTCCGCCCAAATGGGGGCATATAACACAATACCATCGATTAGTTGGAAGATGCTCATGAATGCCGACCAGGCAGCGTTGTTGTCCACGTACTTTGTTGTGGGATACATAGTGATTCTTTCGGCCAGATACTGGTCGACCGTTTCAGCACCGTACTTGGCTCGCAATTCAGGCATCGGAATCCAACTACAATTATCTAGTGCCTGTGGCTCACCCCTGGAAAATCTCACGGCGGTGGGGCTTATATCCCCATCCATTTGGCACGTCCAGAAATTATCGTAGTAGGTAAAGTTAATGATGGCCGCGGTGCTGCAAAGTGCTGTATCGTGGACATGGAGCGCGGCACCCTTCGGCATTTTCTTTATTAGCTTGAAGAGGGTACTGTTCTGGATGCTATCCAAAACCTCAAATATGTGGTGAGAAGGGTTAAAAAGAAGCGGTGTAACCAAACCATCATCGTACTCTTTTAACTTAGCATTCATAATGGTCTCATTGGCTTTGAGTTCATTTTCGGAAAGCTCAAGATCATAGCCTAACGATTTGGATTCCTCGTACCGAAAGAAGGCATTTCTCACAGTCTTGTAAGTTTCCGGAGTGGGACGACCGGGACCCAAAAGGGCCTCCACATGGTTTGTACTACTGTAGAGCGTCAGCAACTTTTTATCAACCAGGTTCTTCTGCCGAGTGCGAGATTCCACCAGACTCGGTCCACAACTTAGAGAGACGCATAAGCCAATAGCGAGCACGGCGATAAGATTACGACGGATGATGGGCAGCATGGTGAGCGTTAGATTTCGGTAGAGTCCGATCACGATTAGTTGCACTCTCCGACGTCCGACGTCTGCAGCAATTGAGGAGCTCCGATTTTAGTTTCGATGTCGCGCCCTATCTGAAACAATTGGTGGTTCGGCATTATCTTTGATTTAACAAGCGTTCGAATGAATCTAAAGGCGATAATTGCGTATGCGGGTTGGTAACCCGCCAACTAGTTAATCGCCGGCAATCGGGCAATCTGGCATCTTGATTTACGAGTAGCCAAAGATTAGATTGGCAAACCCTGGCCAGGAACGTGTCCCTGTCCTTTGAGTACTGCCTTGTTGGTCATTTTATTGGGGCACACTCGATAAAGCGGAAAGCAGTAGGTATTAAACTAAGTACCCCGACGAAAAAATCGATAATTTTGAGTTCTTAAATTATAGATAAAGCAAATATTATATATTTTCCCATCAGGCCTTCTTCGACTTCGCAAACGAAAATAGAATTTAAATTATGTCAAAGCTAAAGCTAGTTATAAATCATACAAAAAGAATTCTTATTAAAAGTGCTTTAACTGAGTTTTAAAGAAAAACCAAATTATATTTCAAGTATCAATTATAAACTATAGGAACAATAACGAAAAAACTCCTCTTAAATTCCTACAATTAAGTTAATTCCGAATCTGATCTTATTTGGTCAAAACTTTTTTTAAACTTTATTGAAGTTTAAATTTCTAAAAAAATGTTCTTCGTTGGACAAACATGACTTATTGGTACCCACTACTGTTGACGAAGTTGGTGACCCACCGGTTCCAGTTACAACGCCACTTGGATACGGCCACATTCCTCTCCACTTCGCTGAGGGAACTGTACAGAAACGAATTCAATGCGAACTGCTTGAGCAGCCGCAGATTGCCCGACCCACTGACTACGCCCACGAAGGCCACATAGAAGTCATCGGTCAGAGGGGAGGCATTCCAGAAACACGGATAATCCGATCCAATCACAATGGGGAATCCGGCGGCAATCAAATACGCAGCCGGATGTTGCCGGAAATCATTAAAGTACTGCAAATGGTGATTGGATAATGGACAGATCTCGACGGCTATTTTAAGTTTTTTCATGGCCTTCATAATCTCAGGATGGAAGGGTAGATTCACAGAGTTTCCGACCCGTTTACTTCCCATCAATAGGGCATCTATTAGATTCATATCCGGTCGTGAGCTGTCCGGACACCGCGATTCACCCGCATGGAAATAAAAGTCAATGTCCTTGCCGATCTTCAATAGTTGAGTTGAATGGCCCAAGAGGGGCAAATTGCACTCGTCAGCAAAGGTGTTCAAGTCGAAGCCAGCAAAGAAATCGGGAAAACGTAACTATCAAGTCAGAAAATTAAATCATAATTCAGTGGCTTTATGATTAATATAACTCCCAACTACCTTTAAAAGGCGGGCATTTATTAAATACTCATCCATGCGACTGTCATTAACGTCCCTAGAAGGAGAATAGATCAGCTTGATTCCGATAAAATCTTTGAAGGTGCTCTTGAAAATATTCGAAACCGAAACTATGGCATCTGCCGTTTCAAAAATGGTAAAGTTTTCTCCTTCCAGATCGTACATCTAGGCAAGGGTCAGCGATAACAAAGGTAGTCGATGTGTTTATTAAAATATTGAAAATTAAATAAACAAGAATTAAAGTTGGTTTAGAAAAGTTAAAAATTGTATACGCTTCAAAATGCTTTATAAAAACAATCTTTTGTAGAATCGAACAAATGGACAAAAGAAGGTTGATTCTGATTAGGAATATGTATTGCACCCTCTTGCATCAACGTTTAACTTTTGTTTAAATTTCCCTGCTTAATTCACCACTCACGATTGGCAACGAGGATCGCAGCTCAACATATTGCACCCCGTCGGTGTAGAAGTCGTTTAACATGCTGTATATGAAATCTCTCCAGATCGGCCGGAACGTGATCAATCCGTGGATGAGTCGTTGGTGACGTCTTAAGTGCCTTGCGAGTTTAGATGAAGTTTCATATCCCTCCGGCCGGACAGAAAGACTTTCCCGCAACCTGTTCTCGAATCCGGTCCGAGACTCGAACTCAAAGAAGTTGCTCATCAACATCCAGTTGCATTGGTAATCCTCCGCTGGCGGGATGAGCGGAAAAAATTTGGAGAACCGGAAGTCTTCGAAGCCCTGATCTATGTTCACGCAGACCCACAGATTTTCGCGATAGGTCAGTTCGATAAGGATCTCCATTTTTAGCATTCCTGAATCGTGGACATGGAGGAGTCCGCCCTTGGGCATGCTTTTTAGAGCCGCATAGAGATCTGTATCAGTGATATTGAGATGCCTGAGAAAAGGCGGTGGTTGGGAGTGATAATTCCGCCAAAGATTGTGAACCTCCTCATCCACCTGCTTGACAGCCATCAGTCGATCATTGGCCTCTTCCTCCAACGGATTCAAGATTATTCCACTTCCAAGTCTTTTCCGTCGCTCCATGTCTACGTAAATTTGCCTTTGGTGGGCGTGTTCCTCCTCGGCCGTACGATTGGACTGGATTTCACCAAGGGGAACCGAACAAATGAGCACCAACACCATAAAGCACAGCATAGCCGCTATGCCAACGTGAAAGCAGATTCCTCCATATTTACTTTCCGCAATTTCGCGACGACTCTCCTCTTCGTTGAGGTCCAAGCGGATCACCCTCATCGCAGGGGGGGAGAGGGGTCTTATCGTTTGGACATCCTGAGACTGCACGTTCTCCATGGTACAATAACTTTATGATCCAAACGAAGTTTTTGTTTAATTTTGTCCCTCATTTGCCAAACATACTTTTTCGAACCAAAAACAAATCGGATTTTTGAAAATGACTCGTGAATCAAGGAAGTTTTTTGTAGAATCGGTTGATATAATCGTGATAATAAATCCTATTGGTTCTGTAGTTTAAGATCCGAATTCAAATAAATGTTTATTTATGGACTTTAATATTTTTCCCAGAAAGAGTTTAAGATATGTAAAACTATTTACCACTGTCTTGCTACGGATTCTTATATTGAAGAAAGCTATACTCCGTGCAGTAATCGCCCTATCGGTGTCCAGTAATGATATCTCTTTGTTTATAACTGCGGCAGTATCGCCATTGAAAACGATCGTGATTTGTTTCCATCCAGGTTTTTTTTTCGTACTTGAAATTTGGCCCCCCCGCCTTTGACATATCATATCGCCTTGGCCTTGGCCACATGTGTAGTTCGAGTAGTGAAGGGGGATTTACCAAAATAGACCAACTCTCTTCCTCGCTTTAGAGCTCTTTCTTATGTTTTTGGCATGCCGCTCATCCAGCGATAATACACAATCTCGTACTGAGAGTGTGGAAAACTGGAACTCCCGCACCCTGTACTGGTTATAGAACTCTCTCTTTACCAGCGGACAGTTTGGCAGGGGTTGCACTTATCGACCACCACCAAGAAGAAAAGCGGGTGGTGTCTACAGCAGTACAGTGGACACGGTGGTGTTTACTAGTTTTAGTATTTGTTTACCAAATAAAACCAACTTCAGGTCGGCATTGGACAAGAGTCGGCTTCGTATATGTGAAATATTTCAGTGATATTTTTAATTATTATTATATTTAAAAATAATATTTTTAATTAAAATAAAATGTAAGCGTCTTAGGTTGTTATATTAACTATGGTTTTAAAAATCTTGAACTCGCTGTCAAAATTTTGTCAGTTATTGCCATCCTTCGTCCCACTGTGCCATGAGATCTGGATAATCGGAGACACATGCGCTACTTGCACGCACTGCCAGCTGCGATTGCATGCAACCGCCGAAGGCGACACTGATTCAGCCGCAACGGGGGTTCAGACTATGGACACATATAACTCAGAAATCGGCCAGACACATGCCACGCGCTTCCTGCTCAGTCGAGCGAGCTTGTTCAGCGGCAGCAGATCGAGTGGGATGCGATTCAGGACGACCATAACCATAGGCCATGTAGAGCCACCCGGGAACTGCGGGCTGATGGAACTCAACGATGACTGCCTGCTTATGATTTGCGAACGTCTTTCGCTGGGGGACCAACTCAAATTGATTGAGCTGCAAGAGAAGCGACTATCCAGTTTGATACTTCACCTGTGGTCCGGCAGATATGCCAAACAGTTCGATTTTGGCCGGGAGCAGCATTTAAAGCTGTTGAAATGCGACGAGCAAGCCAAACTATTGGATTACATAGGCAGGCGAACAAGAGCCCTTATTAACTTGCCAGGAACTAGCGAATGTTGCCGGATATGGCTGAAGCGGAAGCGAAAAGTCTTTACCCATATTCAGCGAGTAAGTTTCACTAAAAGCAGTTCTTTGCTGATACAAAAACTGCCCCACCTTTGTCCCAACATGGTGGACCTTAAACTTGGTGAAGGTGTGGACTTAACACCTATCGATATGGATTGCCTATTTAAAAATTTGAACAACGTTAGATCCTTCGAGCTGCTCTCTAACTCGCATTGCAGGCAGTTTGAGTACCAGTATCCCCGAAGTCTGGAAACCCTAAAGCTACCAGCCTGTATGGTAAATGCTCGCGTTTCTGAAATCTTCCAATTGCCTAGACTCCGCCTATTGACAGCTTTTCTGTGCCGGAATTCGGGGCACTGCCACCTGGATGATGGCAAGGCAAATGCCAGTGGCACAGGAACGTTGTCCGCGTGCCTGCAGCAAATTCGGGGTCACAATTGTCGGATTGTGGGACTCCGTTTGCAGTGTCGACTGGATGACTGCCTGCCAGTCGTCGCTGTGGAGGATATATTCCGGCTGCGATACTTTGCCTGGCACTCTCAGCTGACGGTGCACTATGATGTGGCGGATGGAAGCGTCACGTGGATGCCACAGCGACCGCAGGCGGTACGCTCCCTCCTCTGCTTCCTGGCCACCCAGGCGGCCAGTTTGCGGGAATTGGATTTCACGCGTAACGCACATGCCACGCCCACATTTCTTGCACAGTTAGACGCCCACTTGAAGCGGGCCGGCGGATGTCCTACCACCCAATTGACAAATACGAACACTCATGTGAGTGCGGATGTGGAGGCGGATGCGGATGCGGATTCGGCTGAGACAAACGATTTGGCGTTTGTCGAGCTGGAATTGCTGCATTTGCCTAATGAACAATCGGAAGCGAGCACCGGAGAGATGACAGCGATGAGGGATTAGGCCAAAAGGATAATGGATGGTGCATCTGATCTGATTGCTGACGATAGTGGAACCATAATAGCAAATTAAGTAAATCTCAAGTACTGCCGCGGGGAAATGCCGAGTTGAATTTAGCACACGAATATTCTTTAATATACTTTAAGGTTTATTGATATATAGATAATAAATATGTGTTTAATACAGAACCAAAAATATTGTGCTGTGAAACTTAGTAAGTACTGGTACATAATTAGCTGGGGAAAACGCATAAACTAAAGGTGAATAGTTTTGGCTTACCAAAAAAAAGTCCAAGCTTATGGTGCGACTGGAGAGGCCGTTGTGGTCCTCTCGTTTCCAGTTGGTTATTAGTTCGATACTGTCTCATGTTATGTTATTATAATTTTAACGAGATGTCGAGAATAAACGAGACAAAGCTATCTAGTGCTGTGGTCTCTTGAGTTTCGTAGTGAGTAACAGCGAATGGGATGACGATAGTCAGCGTATTCACTAATCACAAAAATATAAGAGTTACAGAAGAAATAGGACTGTCTTTCAGAATGGAATTCAGCGGGATCAAGCCCAAGGGAACTCTATTTTTGCGTAAACCCATTTCTTCAAAAAGACGATCATGAAACCTAACATCAGCACAGACGAAACAAAGGAGAATGCAAACCTCGATCCGACACATGGATGTATATTTCCTACTTTTTATATATGTACTGATTCATTCAAATTCAAACTATTTATAAGCATCACCATTTCTTATCAAACATTTTCAAAAACTAACAAAAACCTTTGTACTTCTCAATACAATGTAAATTTCAGTAGGTAGTTTTTATTGCAAATAATATTTTGCATTCGGTCTTTACAGACCGGAATACAGTTTTATAGAATACACTGACACAAAAACACGAACACCTCACACACAATACTATAGAATTTTTGCAGCCAATTTTCTTAAAATCCATTAAAGCTGTTTCCCAATCGGTTAGACTGTATGTAAGTATTCATTGATATTTATTTAAATATAAAATGAGTTTCTATTCAATACATTTTTATATTATAAATGGACATTTTTAGAAATTCTGTTCTGCTGCCCGATGAGCTGTTTTCGGCCCTCAGCCGCTTTTTGGGGTTCCAAAAGGATCTGAACGAGGATAGTTCAAAAGAAAATCCTTGCTTGGGGGACACAAAAGCGACCTGTTCCGTTAGCGACGACGACACCTACGATCCTTGTCCCACTGTCAGTTGGTATTCAATGCCACGCACCCCCTGTGAACCGCAACAGGATCCTCTACATCAAACAACCCTCAATGGCAGCAGACAGAATGAGTCTTCGGTGATGCAGCAGATGGTAAAAATATATCATAAAAGTATCTATCTATTTCATGAATTATAATATCAATTTTTAGCTCTCTCGTAACAAAGACGACGAGTATGTGAGTAGGACCCTTCAATTGCTTACAATTTATTTTATTTATATAAACATTTTAGCAATGTTGCAACTCTCCGGAGTGTCCGAATAATAGCTCACCAATTAGGAGTTCCAATAATCAGACCTTTCCACAGCAAATTGTCCCTCTACATAATTTATTTAATTTTCAGTCTGCAATCAATCATTTACACCAGTCACCTCGTCATACGACACGATCTCACAGTGTTCCTCGACACCATTATAGAAATAATGAATATGATAAGTTTGATCATCATAAATCTACTCACAACGTAAGTCTTTTATATATTAAAGAACAAAATAGTTATTAAGAAGTAATAACAGGAACATAGGAATGCAATAAAGCCACGTAATGATCACACGCCTGTAAGTATTTTGGTTACAAAATTAGGCCTTTATAAGTAAAACTATTTATACCAAAAGTGCGAAAAGAATATGCCAAGTGGAAATTCGTATTCCATTAATCAATGCGATAATTATGATATGGACTGCAGTTCTAGGAATAACACATCGAACGGGTGGAATAATTCCTCTCAAATTGGTATGAACTTCGGCGAGTTTCAGAGGCGGCAATTACAAAGCCAACAGCAACAAGCTCGACCGCAAAACCAATCACGAATATCTTGGATAGACGACGAGGAATCTATTGATTTTGTAAGTAATTTCAATAGAACATAATATTTGATGACTTTTTAAAACTATTAACAGAATCCAGATCTGAATAGTACGAGAATAAGCCGTGGTGATAGTTACCAACAATCGGTGAAAAATTACTCACAGCAAAGCCCACGCTATCGAGAAAAACCTTCTTGTCAGATGTGCAACACAAGCTGCCAACCACAAAGTGTAAGTAGTAACAAATTAAATAATATTATATTTATAAAATTATTCGACATAAATATTATTACATTTTTCATTTTCTAACTAGAAGGAACAGTCTATGTCCGCTCCAAGTCCTGAATTGATGCGAAGGCAAAAACAGGTAGTTTTTATATACACAGGTAGTTTTTTTATTTCATGATAATATATAATTATTTACAGTGTGAATCACCGCAACTACGATGTCGACAAATGGATGTTAGTACCCAAAACCTAAAATGTAATCATCGTAAACTTTAAATAATTCTATTAAAATATAGTACGAAACCGAAATCAATAACACGAGTTACCTTCAACCACCTGAGACTCTTAGAAACGCTAGATGTACACCACAAACAATTCAAAATCTTGGTAAAAATCAGTGCTGCAATGTAAGTAATAATATTGGGAAATACTTTCTATATCAATTATCTTTCTCATATTCAGAATTCACTTAACATTAACCGTGATTTACCTAAGAATCGGTCAACTTGTTGTCAGAAATCTCTGGGCCAGAGCCAAAACAATCGATCGATTCCACCCATAAGTCAAGCTGGCTGTTGTAGTCAAGGATCGACCGCCTTTGACAGAAGTCTTCAGGATAACCGAAGATTTGAATGTCGAGGAAATACGTCTACTTTAAGAAATCAAACTCAGATGGACATGTCTCAAATAATGTCAGAATGGTCGTATACGAATGTAAGTCAATAATTTGCTATGTATGTATTAAAAACCCCTTTACTTGGCAGCATACATCATTGGGAAAATCAAAGCAAAATTCTTCCTTTGGAGGACGTTCTATGCAAACCCGTAAGTTTTTCTTAGGTTTAACTTTAATAAATAAATAAAAACAAAAAATCCTGCAAAAAAAGCTGAGGATCGTCTAGCCGAGCGCATTCAAAATGATTTTCATGAGACGTTGGTCAAGGATCGTTTTTGTCCGGGCATTATACAAGCTAGTCTGGACGGACGTGAGAATTTCAATCAATACGCCCAAGAGATAGCTTTTGCTGGACCCATTCCGGAAAAGCCATTTCCGGTGGATCCCATCACCATGATAGAAGCCATCAAGTTGCGAATCGACTACGAACGTAAAGAGATTCGTAAAGAGAAAGATAAGGCTGAGGAGCGAGATAAGGACACAAAGAATCACTCTAAAGATGCCAAATCAAGACGTTCCAGACCAACCATCGTAAATGACATTGATGTACACTTTAATTCTAAGAACAAGTCTGAGGTTAATGAGGGCGTGGCAGCCTTTCTGAAGGCAGAGAACGATTATCACAATACCAGCATGGGAACAGTAAGTTCTATTCTAATCAGATTAATTTAAATAATTTAAATGAATATTTTCCCCTAACAGGATTCCGCCTTTGATGCCCATATCAATAGCTTTGACAGTAATCTCTTTGATGAACAAGTTAAAGTCAATTCCTACACGGCGACTACAACTCCCATTTATAGATAATTTAAAATGGATCATTAATTTTTGTATTATCAGGAAGCCATTCACAAGCCCACCGAATCTAGTAGTCACTGTAATAAAATTCAAAAAAAGTCCCTAAATAATCTAGAAGTCGTTTGCTCACTGAAGGGAAGTGAATATTATAAAACAAGTTACTTCCAGTTGGTTCATTCCACTTCAAGTGAGATTAATAATACTTCTGAAAGATAGCTACAAATTGTTTAACAATTAATCAGACTTATGAATGACTTCGATATGTGCAATCTATGTATGTACGAATAATCTTTATAGGTGCCGAGACTTTCGTCAGGCTCTACTTGAATAATTTATTTATCGCTATTTACGGATCAAATCGAAAGTCATAAATTACGTAATTTCCATTGAATATTTGAAGCCATTCAAAAAATGTGTATGCGAAATATTTTTGCAATGCATTTCACTGAAGAATTTTTTAAACAATAATAAATAATGTCCATTAGCAGTCAATATTTTTTCAAAAATCGACGGGAGGTTTGCCTGATTAAAGTACTCAGACGGAAAACAGCAAACAGAAATATTTATTTAAAAAAATTAAAGAAAGGAAATAATTAATTTGTACTTAAACTGTGTATTTTCTTATGAATAAAAAAATACCTTTTTGATGTTCCAAACTAGAAACCATTATTTAAGACTGCAGTTTTAATTTTTGTTTTATATTCTTATTTACTGATAATTTTGGTTGTTTTTGTAGTAAGCTTGAAGATGATACCGACACGATTAGTGAGCTATCATTTTATTTTTCAGTCGAAAAGGTGTAGATAACAAAACAGACAAAATGAAACCAACAAATGGGACAACAAAAGACAACTAAAAGAGCAAAGTCTGCGGATACTCTGAGCATAATATTCCGAATTCGTAATATACATACATAACGATATGCCACTCTCGCGAACATAAACATTTTTAAGAGACACGGCGAACAGTTTTTAAGAGAGCAAAAGTTGGAACATAAAACAAAGTTGAGTTAAAAATAAAAATCAGCTGTTGTGCCACAACACTACAAAGACTTCTATCACGCTCTTTTCAGCAGGCTGATTTTTACACCAAATAAGCAAACACAACAAAGAGATTTAAATAAAATAAACTACACATTGAAAGCCCAACTCGTTTGGCTTTTTTGTTGGCTTAACGTGGCGAATTTTCATAGATTAATTTCGCTGAGCTTGCATAAACGAATCAATTATGCGACTTTAACGCTCATGTTTTTTTCTCACCCTTTTCTCTCTTTGTTTGTATTGAATATCTGTTAATGCGCTTTATCAATTTGTTGCTGTAAGCTGTACTTAATTAGCAGTTTTTAATTTTCTTTGTATGGCTCTCAGTTCAGTGCACACTTTAAGTTCAGTTTAATTTTAACACTATTGAAATAATCCAAAGAACCTTTACCACAAATAGAGGCATACCACATTCACTTCGAACACTTCTTCGCCGCGATCCTCACGGCAACCGCACGTCCCAAAGACTGATCCCAACTATCCCGAACTCGAACCGTAGAACCTCTCCCGATGATCTTTATATACCGACGGCAGCGTTGACGTCGACGCCGGACTTCAATCAATCGTTCACTGCACGAACAACCCTGTGTTTTCTTTCTTCACATTTTATCAGAGTAAAAAATAACAAACGAAAAAAGGCAGGCAATTCGAAAAGCCTCAAACTCTAGATAATGCTCCCTAGACTCTCAAATTCTCTTTATGAAATGAAGAGACCGGCCTGATAATGACCATTGAGCCGAAGGTCGTTTTAAATGTTTTCTACAAATCTCGGTACTTGTAAAAAAAAGATCTTAATTTATTTTTATTTAATTTATAATTTTAAGAAAAGCAATATATAAAATCTGGTTAATTGTTTTAATATATTAATATTAACATTAATATCAGCTATTTAAAAGCCAAAAAATTTGTTTTTGCATGGCATTTTCCCAGTACAATAATGAAATATAACATAAATACCAGATGGTTATTTTATTATATATATATATTTTATATTTCATGAGCAATAACATATTTCCTACATTCCATAGATAACTGACTCTCAAACTGCCTCAAAATTGCTTTTAAAATATTTCAAAAATATATTCATTCTAATTTTTCGGCTTTAGCAACATTTCTATACAAAAATATCAATTACTCAATCAAACAATTTTCGCAAATGGTAATGTACTTATTTATTCAACTTATTTTTCTTTTATAAACAAAACCCATTCGATTGAGCGATGAGCGAAAAATGAATTAAAAAGTCTGGACCACCCAAAATTCGGCAAAAAGCCACAAGAAATTAATGCTTCTTCTGGGGAAGAACACTAATTCGCACACGTAGATTGTGAAAATCTATAAAATTTTAGTTTTAATTTGTCAGGAAAAGGTAAGAAAATTTATTGGCAGAATTCCATCGAGTGCAAAGAAAAGGAGGAAAAGGAGAATAATAAATCGAACATTATCATCAATTTTTATAGGACCTTAAAAAGAAACATCTTCAAAATATAGAGGATTTTCCATTGTAAATAGCATTTAACACAGATGGTTTGAAATTCTTCTGTTTTGGGTTTAGAATTTTAGCACTTACCCTGCATTCATAAATCCCTTTCAAATACAATGCAGCCTTTTTTTTTTTGTTTATAATAAAAATTTCTGTGATTTGCTTTGTTTTTAAATTAATGTCTTACCACGAATGTGTTGCACATTGCCTAGGTAGAAGCTATATTTTTGGCTCTGCTATTTTTGGTCACGGATGTGCAAATGTTTAAATATGTATATAGGATTCCAAAACTCAGAAAGACAAAGGTGAGGTAGACACGAGCACAAGCATCCGGGGTATGAGGGTCATAAATAAATTCATAACTGCATCCCATGCAAATTTTACGGGGCAAATGCTTCGAGCCAGTATTTCTTAGAAAAACTGATTCAGAGCGTAAGCACTGTATGAGCTATAGTGCACACCGGGTCATAACCATAAAGGCATTTGTGATGCAAGGATTATATGGACTTAAATAATATTTATGACATGTGCTAATCTCCATGGCTTACCAACGCCCATCCGTTGTCTCTCGAACCAAGTTATAGTCATTGCCTGCACTTTATGACTAATTATATTTGATTTGAAAATACTTTAAATCAAGCTAAATTTATTCATCATAGTGGATAGCACTCCAACTTAAACAATACAGATAACACTTTTGGAACATTTGTATAACACAAGTAATATTTATTTGTGAAGTCATCGCTCTTGAATTTTAGCTGCTGCTGTTGATTGCTGAAATCATCAAGCAATTTATCCTTTCACATGCTGAATGATTTTTCAAAACCAAAATATCGGTTAGAATTGATGGATGGAGAGCTTATATTAGAAAAGATCAAGAAAAATCAGAAATAAAATTAATGTCATTGATCAAACTGTTTAGAAAATTTGGAAACTAGATATTTTATTTAAATTCTTATTCAACTTGTCGATATAAATTTAAAATATTATAAGTTTAAGAACATATGTCTAATATTGTTTACTCACTGTAAACATTATAAATTGTAGATATATATATATATATATATCATAGACTCGAGAAAAAACTAGGTAAAAAGGTTTGATATATATCCAATATCCATATACTAAATTTAAATTGTGCATTATTATTATTGTTCTCAAAATAGACTTAGCTTATCCCACTCAACCCCGCTAAAACCTTCGATTTTTGTATCTAACCAGTATAGCAAATGTTTACGCAACCAATTCGAGGCATTCAGCTCTCGGTTGCAGAACAGATACCAAGTTCGGTCAGTCGCATAAACAAAAGCCACCCAAAATACAAAATTGTTTAGCCGTATAATTAGTGAACTGGATGGGTGGCAAGGGGGGGAAGGAAAAGCGGGAGGTGTCCGGGTATGGAAAAGCGATGGGAACTAAGCCAGCCGAATTGCATTGATGACTGGGTTGCAGCATTTTGTGGTAATAGATCGTACGGCATTGTGAACGGGACTTAATTCAGTTACACGGAGAGTGCTTCTTACCCTAACTCAAATAGACCTACAATGGGGCATGGGGTTCCATGCGAGTTGATTATGCGTTGTTTTGGCACTTAATATGATGAAATATGCAGAGTGCCATTAGCACGGGATGGGATTGTAGAATGGAAATGGTGGCGGGATATAGTGGGTGCACATGTGATTGCAAAACGCACACTGCCGGCAGTAAATTATTCAACGAGATTCCTTCAACTTGCTTCAGTAGCGAATTCGAATGAAATCATTTCATTTCGAGAGAAAAAATTCCAAATCAAAGTTGAATTTTTCTCAGTTGCATACTTTTGTGAGCAGCTGGAAAATCATTTTTACAAGCTCCAAGTTCCCAATTGCTTTGGAAATATTTTCGTTTCTGTTGCAAAGCAAACAGAAATCATAGAAATTTTTCACCAATAAATAGAGAAATATAGAGAAATTCAAAATATTTACGCAGTACATTCTGTTATGAAATGAAATTGGCTAGCCCAATAAATAATTAAAACTCCAATTAGGTTTATTAAGGCGCACTGTGAAACATTTTCGCACATAATCATGAGCAGGCGACCAATTTACGACTGCTGTAGTCACTGGTTCTCTCTTCCTTTCTATGCTTGCAATTCTATCTCTTTCAGTCTACGTCAAAGGCAATTAGCATGCAAAACAAGTCGAAGCCATGAATGCACATCTTACGCACACTCCAATGCCTGGCATTTATGTGAAAATGCATAAATATTACCCAAATATAGTAGTACTTATGTTGGCTTAAGTGTGCACAACTGCAGAAGGTGTGCGACATAATAAAAGTGATACAGACTTTCAAATTAAAACACCTTAATTAAACTATCATTTTGAGTTTTATCAATTAAGCATTTTATCTTTTAAACAGAAAAATTTTAAGAAATTGAAAGGTCTTTTCCATCTCTTCTCTCAACTAAGCGAAAGCCATATCAATTTGTGATGCAGCTTTTGCATTTATGTATCCTTGCATATTTGTGCGGTGCTCCTCATTTGGAAACAATACCAACAACACCAGCAACAGGAGCGGTAATAACGCCGGCAAGAACAGCAAATAGTGGCAGCTGCAATATACCCGCGGCATTGCCGCCAACCGCCCAAAATGTATGCAACATTATGCGGCATGTGCACTAAACAAGTCATGAATTTCAAACAGTCGCCGGAGATCCCGCCCCCAATAGAACCCCAAGGCCACCCCTCTCCCTAGGCTCCCAAAACACGCTCCTTGGTGCATTCTTTGCATGCGTAATAAATGCGGCAGGGGGACAAAATGCAACCACAAATGGTGGTGCGGCGTGTGTTGAGTTGAGTTTTCCTTCATTTTCCGCACTGACTTCTGGCGTCGTCCAAAGAGACCGCGAAAATCGCTCGCCGCCTGGTTGGCACTTCCGCTTTTCATTTGCCTCATGTTTAATACATCCACGCAGATGCAAATGGATGTGGGAGTGGGTGTGTGTATATTCGTGTTGTTCTGTATGAGTGCTACTGCAGTATACTGGCGCAAATGCATCACCACAAAATGCCCCAATAAGTATGCTAAGCAAGGCTCGAATATCCCCACTCCTGCGAACTTGGCGGAGTCGGAAACCCATAAATTTCAGATTGATTTGCGGTTTCCGGAGCTGGTATGCTTTAAAGTATAAAAGAAATTTTATAATTCCGGTAAAAAGTTTGTAGTTTGTGTTTTTGTGAACTCTAAAATTAAATCTATTTGATATTCTATCTCATCATGGACAATGTGAACACAGTAAAGCAGGTATATTAAAAATATCATTGCCAATTTACACCTTATTAAAACTTTTATCCCCAAGGATTCCAAGTTAAAAATCTAACGGATTATATATCAAACAGTTTATCCTTAAAAAACTAGGCATCGCTCTAAATTAGATTCTTTTTAAGGTAAACCGTATGGAATTTTCATTTTCTTTCTGAGAGAATTTAATTTAACTTCATTGCTTTCATTGAAGTTTATAGCTTACCCTCTTTTGTAATTCACTTGATTGCGTTTTGGGGTTCTGACTAAATTTCCATAAGGGCGACAAGCTGCAAGAAATGTAAAATACCATGGAAGTAGAGGCAAAAAAGTGAACTGAGCAACTTCTAATTGCGTGCTTGCTGCACCTTGCCACAATTTGCCACCACATACCTACCTATACATGCATGCACGGGTATATCTGAAATAGAATGCATGTTGAGCAGGTGTGTGCGAGTGTTGGTGGATGCAACGAACCGGAAGTACGTCATACACACACACACACCCAGAAACACATACATAGAGCCACAGAAGAGAGCGGGAAATACTCGTGAGTGAGCTGGTGCAAGGACCCAGACAGCGTGTATTTAGTTTAACAGCTTCACAGGCAGCGACATGCGACACTGACACTACAAGTGTTAATGCCAGCCACGCCCCACCGCCCCCACATTCGCTCAAACACACACACATGCACACATAGCCACTGAAGTGCGTGGAACAGTTTTTGCA